AAATAATAGAACTTATTATATATAATTATATCTAAAAGGGGCTAAGAAATAATATAGAATAATATATTAAAGAATATAATATATACTATAAAGTAAAATATATAAAATATAAACTATATAGATTACTATAATTAGTAGAAAATAAAGAAAAGATATAATTAAGAATAGCTATAAATTTTATTATAAAACTATCGCTATTAAAGAAACTAATAATAAAAATAATATATAATAGTATTCTTATAATTAATAATACTCTAATAAAGTATATCTATCTTTTATTATATAAAAAATTATTAATAGTAGAAGATCTAGTATATATTATAACGAGAATAGTATTCGTATAATATAGAATATTAGATATTATTATTATTAATAGAGATAAGTTATTTAATTTATAATTCTAGTAATTACTAATAGACTTATTAAGAATTAAATATAAGATATTAATATTATATTATCTATAGATAGACGAATAGACTAAAAGAATAAACTAAATAATTAAATAATACTTATAATACTATATTAACTATAAATAAAATAATTAAATTTAACTACTACTAATAGTATAATTTATCTTTAATAATAATAAATTAATAATAGGAATATTACCCTTCTTCGTAAACTATAGGAGATATCTAAAATTATTAAGAAAAAGCCTAAAATTAAAATCTAAAGTAGAAAAAGTAAAAATAATAGTAAATAAACTAAATAAATTATATTTCCTACTAAAAATAAGCTTAGATAAAATAGTAAAAATAATTACGAAAATAGTAAATAAGAAAAGATCTAAGAGACTAGACTTCTAGAAGAGAGAGATAGTCTATATTAATATAAAAGATATTAAAATATAAAGACTAAGTAAAAAACTTAATAATACGAAAATCGAATTATATCGAATTAAGAAAATACTAGGACTAGTATTATATAAATTATAATTACTAGAAGAAATAAATATCTATCTAGTCTTTTATAAATTATTACTAGAAAAGGTATTACCTAATATACAATCTAAACTAGTCTATATCGATAAGAATATCTAAGAATCGTATTATAATATAGAAGAGATTCTCTAATATCGCCTATAAAATAAATAAATAGAATATCTAATTAAATAGTTAGAATATATAAAGGAGAAAAACACTTAAGAACTAGGAACGAATCTTAACTCGAAACTTATTAACTAATACTAGTAGAATCTTAAAGAATTTAAGAAATACTTAGGAATATAGCCTAAAGCTAATTAACTAAGTCGTCTCTCGCGCTCTAAGTAAATAGAGATAATATTAATCTAGTAGGAGACTCGACTAACTCTAAAACCTTATAGCTATTAGACTCGAGACTCTAAGAGTATAATCGAGTATTCTCTATAGTAATAGCTTTCTTCGCTTTAGATTCTAGCTTTAATATTTCCTATCTTAATTTTACTTTATTTTAAAAAGCTTCGTCTATTTAACGACGAGCTTTAACTTAGGTAGTAATCGCTACCTCTTAAGCTTAACGAGAGACCTTAATTTCCTAAAGTAATCTTTCTCTCTCGAATCGTAATTATTCCTATTCTAATTTTATTATCCTTATATTATATATAGAATCTCGTATATAACACTCTCTATAACGACTAGAATAAATATATACCTTATACTTAATATCGTTACGATAATAAGAAGAATAAGCGCGAGATATTTTTTAACTAAAGATAATAATAAAGAAACTAAGGGCCTTATAATCGTCGATAGAAGTTATTAGTTTAGAGAAACGACAGCGACGCTCACTAGATTTATTAGTATATAGCTTAGATATAATTAGCTATAAGGAGAGAAATCGGGACGCGAAGAGAAACACTAACCTTAAGTACATTAAGAGTAACGCACGAATATAAAGGGGGGATAGTATTACAAATAGTATATACGGCCTACTTATAACTTAGAGAATTAGGTAGCTATATCGAGAACTAATAGGGTAACGTAACTTAGCCTAATATATAAGGCTAAGTTACGTAACTAGTAGTTAGTCCTTAGTAGTCCTTAGGGGAAATTAGCCTTCTTAGCGCTAAGTACACTAAGAATAACTAAGAATACTTATTTACGCTAAGGACGCTAGCACTATATATACACGCTCACTACTCTAGATAGGACTACTCGTAGTCAACTTCGTTAACAATCCTATACCTACATTTAGGATAATCTGGAACTAAGTTCTCTTCGTTCATACTTCACTTCACCATCCCGTATCCACCTATTAAGGAAACCCCTTGGTCAGACACTGTTCGTAGTTCCGATCATAACAATTTAGCGACCCTTCGAGCTGCTAAATGGAGCGGAAGAACCTTAATCCGGAGCTCCTAGAGTAGTATCAACACTAGGTTTAGCGCCGACGAGGCTTTATTAAACCTCAGCCTTGTCGACGAGGGTTTAGGATAATAGTGTAGTTAATAAATAGATAAAATAATGGCAGGATATGCAAAAGGGGTCAGTTTTACGGCTAAATTGGGCCTAGTTTGCACCCCTTGGCATAACTTGGTATTCGCTCGCAAATCCATTCGCTCTGGCCATTCGCTCCCGGAGGCATTCCCACATATTTAAAGCCTGAAACAGTCAGGCTGAGATTTGTATTATGGTGGTACGATAACAACAAGCCTAGGATCGAGCCTTCCCACTAGAATGCTTAGGTGGGAGGCTGGACCCTTCTTTGCTGGAGAGTGGGACTATCATGAAAGGCCAGACTTAAGCTTATCCTAAATGGTGAACGTCTCATTACTCAGTACCTTGTCCCCCCTCTGTGTGTCCCTCTCGAGTACCTACTTCATCGGATTGGAAAAGAAAGAAAACCATTCAGCCTGAGTTGGAAAACGACACACCTGTTCCATTTCAAAGCCTCTAATCATTCAAATTGAGTACATTAGTGAGATAACGCACAATATATCAGCAAGTCGATCGCATGAGCATCCAGATGACTAGCTTGCTACCTGGTGGCATCCCAGCCACGGTTCTGGAATATTGTAAGACGCGGGAAGCTTCGCCTATATCCAACCATCTAACTCGAACCATGGTTAGCTTCGAGACCACCGAGTCTAGTTGCGACAAGTCTTTACGATCAGCAAAACGTCGGAATCTTCCACTTCCTCCCTTGCTCGTCAGAAACAGGTACTGAACGATAGCTAGGGACCAAATCTGCCAAATAAAGGGTATATGTATGAGAACATTCCACTTACCTCCTGAAAGGCATACATTGGGGGAGAATGCATCCTGACCTCGCAGATTTATTGACCGGAAACATTACCCTAAGACTAAAGAACTTCGAAAAACGCTCCTGAAGGAATTCGATATTCCAGAGATTCTTGCCACAGACACGTGCACTAAACTAAATGGCTATTTTGGCAGCAAAAGCCATTACAATGGAGACACTCTTGAAAGTTATGGTATGAATTACTTGGACACCAAACATTCTGATCTTGTGCTTACCGACGGCGTGACGTAGTTACCTGGCTTCGCTGCTTGGTAAAAATGATGCCGAGAGTCGACGAAGACTCAAAGGGTAATCAAGTGATCCGTGCAGATTCTGACCTTCCCGACGATGAGGATGGCAAAGGTTACATTTGGTACGAAATGGGCCTTTTCACACAGTGGAAGAAAGCAGGCCATTCCAGAGCGTTGTGTATCGATGCTCCAGAGAAACTGCAATCAGAACTTCAGAGTGCGCTCCAAAGCAGAGACATCACACTTAATTTTAGCGACCCGTTTGCTCTGCATACCTCTATACTGGACCAAATGTTTCATCTGTACGATACTTCTGTTTGGAGAGTGCGCAATCCGGTCCGCAAAGTCGAGAAGGCTCGCGAAACCATAAAGAAGGAGAGAGCAGAGAGAAAGAAGCGGCCAAACGATGAGGTAAGGATTTGGTATCAAGCTCGGCTTGCAGTCAAAGCTCCCAAACAGGCAATTTACCCAACGACTAACAACCTATTTTTAATGGCTGTGGGAAACAATAGAGTGTTTCCCATACCGGATTTCGGGACGCTGCACGAGGTTTCAAGACACGCTATCCACGTTTCAGAGATTCTGTCAGTGACGATAGAAACCCTGCAAGGCTTACAGACGCAGCAGAAGTCAATTTACCAATGTTTGACGGATCTGGAAAAGACCTACACAGAGCAAGCCCAAGAGTATTTGAGCTTTCAACTCCAACTAGTAGCCAGCCTCAAGGCTCGATCAGTCTCGAACCACGAAAGGCTGAAGAACGAAATCGAATTGGTAATTCCTTCCCATCGGCCTCCACTCCTTTAGAAGGACGACAGAAACCTTATCGAACACAGGCTTACACGGTCCTCGTCCTCCAAGATAGCGAAGTGATGAGGACGGTCGCACTTCTGACGATGATTTTGCTACCTCCAACATTCCTATCGGTCAGTGAATCATATGATGAAATCTGCCCATTTCCGGGCTAACCCCTGTGGCTTGCAGACGTTCTTTAGCACGACGTTCTTCAGTTTCGAGGAAAGCGGTTGGAGAGTATCGCGTGCGATATGGATATATTTTATTATCGCCGTTCCGGTTACTTTGATATGTCTTGGTAGCTGGCATGTCTGGCTGTACGGCACAGGTAAGGCACGAGCAATACTGAACAAGTATGTCGAGCGGAGACGTACACTGGCTGCAAGAGGTGGTGTTCAGAGTGTATGAGGGGGCTAAATAGGTTTGATCTTTCTCGCAGTAATAGGATAGTCCTTCTCCAAAAATTCTCAATAAGAAACTTTATCGTTTTCGGCCTCCTTCCGCCACGCAGTAGCCCTCAAGAACTACCCAAGGCCAACGTGAACGAGCATACCGGACGACGGAGTTAATGGCATAAGTCCTGGCCTCTTCTTTCCCACTGAATTTGCGCATCGAAGCGAAGCCCAAAATGCCTAGTGGCAAGCCAGAAAAACATACCATGATGAGGCTAACCGCTCGCCTAGGATTCGCCATTTGTGGACTAGCGCCTCGGTGGAAGAGGTGTCTAACCCGGATACGCGGTGCGCAACTATGATTTCCCTACGTGAATAACGTTCTTGACTTAAGTCTCGTGGGAGATAAGGAGGGTTTGGTTCCATTACAGGTGTACTCTTCCCTTGATTAGAGGGTGAGGAGCTTGCACTATTCGATCTGTTACAATTTGTGATCTCGGCGATATGAAGGTGGTCCCGAGCTATCGCCTGACCATTACATGGCATCAAAGATTATTATCTTGGTATAAATAGGAGCTGGCGGCCGTTATTTGATCCCTTCCTGAAGACCTCGGAGTCTTGTTTTAAAACCGGGCAAGTATTCAGTTCACTCTATTTCACAGTCACCATGGGAGTCTTTTACAACCACTTTCACTCACAGCTGTTTGTCCAACCTGCATACCCGACAAGATCATTTGCCGGAGAGACCGTCATAATCACTGGTTCCAATGTTGGTTTGGGAAAGGAAGCAGCTCGGCACATTGCTCGGCTGGGGGCATCAAAGTTGATCCTCGCTGTCCGTAACGTTTCAGCTGGAGAAGAAGCCAAGAAGGATATCGAAAACACGACTCAGTGCGGCAGATCAGTTATCGAGGTTTGGCAGCTTGATCTAGCCTCATATGGTGAGTCCTCACGGGCTGCGAAGCATGATGGTCAACAACTGCAAATGAGTGTCTGAAGACTGACTGCCACCTCTGCCATACAGAATCAGTAAAAGCTTTCGCTAGCCGCGCATCGAGTCTGCAGCGTATCGATGTACTCCTTGAAAACGCTGGCATAGCCACTGCCCAATGGTCCATGGCGGAAGGACACGAGCGAACACTCACTGTGAATGTTATCAGTACTTTTTTACTTGCACTGCTGCTGCTTCCCAAGCTCAAGTCGACTGCTAAGCAGTTCAATACCGAGCCACGACTTACTGTGGTTAGCAGCGAAGTCCATGGATGGATCAAGTTTCCAGAGTGGAATGATCCAAATGTTTTTGAGACACTTGACAACAAGGAAAAGGCGAAAGCAAGCTTTGGGTCGCGGTATCCTTTGAGTAAATTACTGGAAGTACTGGTTGTCCGTGAAATTGCTCCTAAACTGGATGGTTCCGGAGTCATTCTCAATTACTTGAACCCGGGTCTATGTCGAACAGAACTTGGCCGCGAGGGCAATTTTGCGCTGAAGATCCTGTATGCCATCCGGTTCGCACGCACGACAGAAGTGGGGGGTCGGACCTTGGTAGCTAGTGCTGCGGCAGGACGTGAGTCTCATGGCAAGTGGATGACCGATGGTAAGGTCAACGACAACATGCTCGCGCCATTCCCACGAAGCAATGATGGGAAAAAGGCCTCGGAGAAGATTTGGAGTGAGCTGGCCGCAATAGTTGAGAACATCCAACCTGGAGTCACAAGTAATCTTTGATACTTCTGAGTAGACCAGGAAATATCTTTTGCTAGCGTTGAAGCCTACAAGACTTTCAGTCAATGGTACCTAAAGTGCATATGGACAGGAGTAAGCAAATAGGTGCTTAGCCTAAATTTAGAGCGTATCGTTAAACCTTCCTCTAAAAGGTGCCAAGCCACCCCGCAGTTGGCACGCGCTAGCGCTTTCCTCCGCAACTTTCAGTGGACCTCCGTGACATCCTCGCGCTTCTTGTCAACTTGAGGCACTTCATATTATTTGCCTGTGGTTGTGGTGACCTTCAAAGGCCTCATAACAAGCAATCAAATGCCAGGTTAAGATCGGTCTCCCGCTATATTGGACACTACCCACCTTGCTACTTGAATCGTTCGACTGTTTGCGATCACGTTCAAAGCTCTGTCTTGGGCTCTGAAATTGTCAGCGCCCCAAACCCAGTCATGCTCAGGGCAATTCGATCCTCCTAACCGGTAGCCAAGAACAATAACTACGTGCGATAATCCTCGGTACCTACCAATGACTACGGTCTGCATAGTCCATAGTCGACCAAGTTTGCAGAGTACAGATCGATGGTACAGAAGAGGAAGCAGAATGCACCCAGGAAACGCAGTGGGTGCTCCACGTGCAAGAGAGCCCATGTTCGTTGTTCGGAAGAGCGACCAACATGCTCGAGGTGCCAACGCCTTAAGCTAGAGTGCGACTATCAGATCAAGCTGTTGTGGGAAGAGGATGCCCTTCAACGGAACATAGCTCATGGGAGAGGAAAAGCTCCAGCTCGCAAACGAGAGGTCGCTCAACTGGTCGAACAGCCTCTCGCCTACCGGGTTTCCGAGTATGAATTCTGCAATACCACAACATCGGATTTTGATGCCATGTACTGGAACAGCCCATCAAGCTTAGGTATCGACGATGAAGACGATAGCGATGTCGAGGAAGTGGTGCGGGCGACCGGATTGAAATGCATCCCAGTCCCGCCACATTCGCCTTATCTTGGTTCAGATGCGTTTCTTCTGGACTACTACATCAGTGAGCTCTCCCCAAAATGTTCACTCAGTAGGATCAACAACCCTTATCTTTATACTCTGCTGCCTGTTGCATTCGAGTTCGAGCCTCTCAGGAACGCTTTACTGGCAGCTGCAGCCAATGAACTACGCCTTCAACAGCATGGAGAGTTTGAGAAATTGGCGTTGAAGCTCAGAGATGCCGCCATCAGAGGACTTCGTGCTCATCTTCAGACAGCGGAGATGGATTGGAGGGGCTTGGCAGTCATGCTGATGTTCTGCTTCTATGATATCTCTGACGGGTGTGCACCTTCTTGGATTACACATCATAAAATGGCACTGAAAATGTTAGACCGCCTTCGAGCCAACTCAAAGACAGACACGAGTTTGAAGGCGCTCTGTGAAATCTACTTCGTGGCTCATGAGGTCATGGGACAGACTGCGTGGGAGAATCCGTCTCCTGTCCGTGACCTCTTATGGATTCCACACAACCCACAAGAGATTGATGTTTTGACAGGCTGCTCCCGTCAGCTCCTGTCAATTATACATCGGATATCATCCCTCGCTCAACGCATAAGGCAGAACACTTTTCGCGCGAATGATCAATTGTTGAGTGAAAAGTCAGCGCTGATCCAGGAGTTGTTGACTCTCCATCAGGTCCCCGCTTCTGGAAGCAATGACCTGAATGTCGTCCAGACTGTTGCAGAAGCAAAACGTCTTGCCGCATTGATCTACCTGGAAGAGAAACTGCCCGTAGTCGGGTTCCCAGAACCACGTCAAATCGACCCGACCGCAATCGTGCAAGATCTTCTTGAAGTCCTATCTGGTCTGCCACTACATAATGCTGCTACACTCTGGCCACTATTTGTCTTGGGTGTGTCACGTTTTACTACTCACGATCAGCTTATGATCGTGCTCTCTAGGTTGCTCTGCCTGGAACAGTCTCGTCCACTGGGCAGCATCTGTCATGCTCGTCGCATAGTGCAAGGTCATGCAGGGGATTCTCCGTTAAGTATTGATCGCTACCAAACTTCCAAGGCACGAATCAGCCTGGCTTAATTTATCTATGCGGACTCGGTTTGAGCTGTTGCATATGCCGAGACACTCCCAACTGCTCGAGGCCACTGGGTTTTGGCCGGGTTGGCCTTACTGAGCACAGCTCCTAGTGAGCCAAAGCCACCGCCACCTGGTGTGTGAATAATACAACGGTCTCCTGTGTCCATCTCCACCATGTTCTTGGGGCCAAGATTAACCCATCTTTCCCCTCCGTCATGCGTTCTCTTGACCCAGTAATTGGCCCCACGGTCGCCATCCTCGCCTCCACACATTCCGTACGGCTTGGTCACTCTTCTCTCCGTGATGACACTGAATGTCAGTGGGGCTCTGCACTCTATGTCGCGAATAGCACCATTGCCACCAGAGTGTCCTCCTCTCCCACCGCTCCCTTCACGGATCGCAAACTCCCGGAGAACGACTGGGTATCTCTTTTCCAGCAATTCACAGTCTGTTATTCTGGTGTTCGTCATTCCAGTATGCACTGCGCTCGCCCCATTGGCAGTGGCTGTTGCTCCCGAGCCTCCACAAATTGTCTCTCCAAAGGCATATGCAAACCCGGTCAAAGGCTTCCCTTCTCTATCTTTCCCACCTTTCCCGAAGAATCCTAAGCAATTCATACAGCCTTGACTGGCTCCTGCGACCTCGAAAGCCTTCATAATCACGTCACAGACACGTTGAGACGTTTGTGTATTGCCAGCACAGACTGCTGCGCCGGCTGATGGATTGAGGAAGGATCCTTTGGGAAGAATAATGGTCGCTGGAGCCAAGCAACCTTGGTTCATTGGAATTTCTGCTCCAATTAGGAGACGTAGGCAATATAGGACTGCTGAATGAGTGATTGCTGGTGGTGCATTCATGTTACCCAAAAGTTCGCAAGATGATCCGGTAAAGTCGAAAGTTGCATCACCGGTGGGCTGTATCTCTACCTTCAGCTTGACAGTGGACCCGTTGTCCATAGAATCTTCTGCGTATAGGTAGGGGCCTCTTTGTTTTAGCGTCTCTTGTAATAATGATCGTACTGCGATGGCAGCGTTGTCTTGGATTGCCGACATGTACAGCTGAACCACTTCTTGTGACAGTTCATCCATCAATGCCTTGACTAAATTCGCACCCTTGTTGTTGGCAGCGACTTGTGCCTTCAAATCTGAGATATTCGCAGGGAGAGAGCGACTACCACTGCAACCTGGATATTTCCCAGGCTCAAGAAGGATCTCCGAAATGCCGGCTTCATCAAAGTAACCATTATGGATGAGTCGGAACGATCGAATCGCTGCGCCTTCCTGCCACAGCTCTGTGGAGTTTGGTGGCATGGAAGTGCCCCCCAGACCACCGATGTCGGTGTGATGGCCCCGTGAGGCGACATAGAAAGCCACTTCCTTGCCTACCTGGTCGAACACGGGAGTGATGACGGTGATATCGGGCAAGTGAGTCCCACCTGATTCCGGATGATTGGAAACCAACACGTCACCTGGGATTAGCTTTCCTTTGTTGATCTCGTGCTGATATCGGACTGCGTAGCTCATGGAGCCGAGATGGACAGGGACGTGTGGTGCGTTGGCCACAAGTCCCGCTACGTATTGTTAGTTTTGAATACAAGGTCAGGAAGACAGGACTCACCATCTGGTCCAAAGATCGCACATGAGAAATCCAGTCGTTCTTTGATATTCAGCGACACTGATGTGTTTTGCAGTGCCCTGCCCATTTGCTCCGCGATACTCATGAAGCGATGCCCGAATGTACTCAACGTGGCTGGGTCGACCTTCTGGTCAGAGACTTCGGCCTTTGCAACAGTTGAAACATCGATAACTACATGTGAGGTCAATATTTTTGCTTCCGCACCAGGGGCAATCACCAAGGTCTGCGTCTCATCTAGAATGATTGCGGGACCTTTGATGACATCTCCGGGTGTGAGATCTTGCAAAACGTGTACGGGAGATTCTTGAGCTCCCTGGCCCTGGAAGTACACTGTTCGCTAGCCGATGTTAACAAAAAGTCATCGGAAGGGTCGATTTGACTTACCAGATTCACGGATTTGCCGGCAACACTTCCAAATTTCAGGCTACGAAGCTCACGCGAAAGCTGCTCGGCATCTGGAGTCGTCCCCTTGGTCTCACCAATGCCCCTGACGCGGATATCATCGATCAGAATGGGACGATCGTCTGGGAAGACGAAGTTGAATTCCTGCAGGTGTCGCTTGAGGAAGCCGGCCTTGAAACCAGTCTCTGCGGTCTCCATTATCATCATGGCGGTCTCGGTACCCTTATACCGCATATTCAAGAAATATTCGAACCTAACCTGACCCTTAGGTATTCCTTGGGCGATGATTTTTGTCTCGACTTGATCCTGCAGGCCGGCAAATATTTCGCTCAAACCAGCCCGACAATCGTCAGTGAATGTCTGGCTATGCGGCTTCTGTGCTTCTTGTACGACATCCGCCAAAGCCATGCCGTACGCTGACAGAATGCTAGAATAGCGGTGGATGATGATGGTTTGGATTCCAAGTTTGGATGCTAAATCGCATGCATGTTGACCGCCTGCACCCCCAAAGACGCCGAGGTTGTGGGATGCTAAGTATGGTTAACTTCTGTAACGGCCAAAGGATCTATGAACTTACCCAAAGAATGGCCCTTTGCCTCAGTGAGTGCACGGATAGGTCGGCACATAGCCTCATTGGCAACATCAAGAAAGCCACAGGCAACCTGTTGGGGCGTCAAGAAACCTCCTGTCTCGGAGTTAATGCTTTTTGTGAGCTCGTCGAATTTGGTCCGGACAATATCTTCGTCCAAGGGCTGGTTTTCTTTCGGGCCGAAAATAGACGGGAAAGATTCAGGTACAAGACGGCCCACGAAGAGATTGGCGTCTGTGACGGTTAGTGGGCCGGCTTTGCGGTAGCATGCGGGCCCAGGATGCGACGATGCACTCTCAGGTCCAACAGTGAACAACCCATTTCTCCAAGTCAGGATCGAACCACCACCTGCTGCTACTGTGTTGATGTCAAGCTGGGGGCTTTGAATTGTTACACCAGAAGTGGTTGTCTCAAAGACATGTTCAAAAGTGCCACCGAATCGGGACACATCTGTACTCGTTCCTCCCATATCGAAGCCTATCACTGGCGTTTTCGTCTCTGGATCGAACGATGTTCTTGCATAACCCACCACGCCGCCTTCAAAAGTCAGTCACATTTCCCATACTCAAGAAGCCACTCACCTGCTGGACCACTCAATATACCCTTCAGACCATTGAAGTGATCGTGCCTCACGAGTCCTCCATCTGACTGCATGAACTCGCATTTCACGTCATCTAGATGGGCGCCTTCGAAACCTTTCTTAAAACCTTCTAGATATCTTTTGATTTCTGGAGTCAGGTAGGCGTCTGCAGAAGCTGAACTGCCACGGGGCACCATCTTAATCATGCTAGCAGCGACCTCAGAGGAGAGTGAGACATGCTTGAATCCTGCTTGCACGGCCAGCTCCCTGGCCCTCGTCTCGTGTTTGGGAAAAACGTAGGAATGAGCAAAACAGATCGCGACTGTGTCAAAACCCTTGGATCGAAGCTGCTCAAGCTGCTGGAGAAGCTTCTCTTCATCGAGTGATTGCAGGATACGGATCAATTGGCCATTGAGACCGCGCTCCAATACTCCTGAGACCTCCTCCGTCGCATTGAACAGCCCATCAACGTCTTCATCAAAGGCTTCAATGGTAACACGCTCCTCGACTTCGCAGACATCAGAGTAAAGCACGTCTGGCTTCACAATGTTGAGATCGAAGAGTCGAGGTCGTGATTGGTAGCCAATTGATAGAAGGTCCTTGAAACCTTTGGTCACAAGAAAAGCATGTTTCGTTCCCTTTCTCTCCAGCAGTGCGTTGGTAGCAACCGTAGTTCCCATGCGGATGCTCTCAATCGAGCCTTTAGGCAATGGCATATGCCTGGGAATTTCAGCTCCCGTGTATGCACATATGACTCTCCGTATACCTGTAATGTCAGAATAGTGTCATAAGAAGTAAGCTTGTTGGACTCACCTTCCACAGGTGCATCATCGTAGTTGCCTGGGTCGACAGACAGGAGCTTGAAGACCAGGTCTGGTTGGCCTGGTGCAGTTGCCCAAATGTCCGTGAATGTGCCACCTCGGTCGATAGCAATCTTGATCCCTTGGACCGACTTAGGGTGCGAGACGGAGCCCATCTTGTTGTTGCACTTGAGGGACATCGTCTAAGTGTGCTTGCAGACTCTTTTTAAATCACTATAGCCTCTCACCAGTCCCTCATACGACGCACGAAAATGTCCTCCCCGCTCGCAAGAACTCACATTCAAACGCGGAAGGTCAACACGACGAGGCTAGGAACTTACCATCACTTCGCTTATCAATAGATTATTGCGATGGGACATGTCCGACGATGTGAATCGGGGCCAATGTGGGACGAAGTTGAGGTCCAGATTGAAGTTAACAACGACGACGTCCGAGTCTCAGACTACTTGTCGTGTCGACCTGCCAGACAAGGCTACACGGCACGTGTGAGATATGCCAAGATCGCGGCAATCTTTTCCGATCGTGTCGACCATCCTCTTTCAAACACTCGTATTCCTCTCCGGGAGGATTTTGCCAAGTTGGCCCTGTATTGCCAGAGTCTATTTTGACTTTGTCGGGCTCCAGAGGGTTTTCAGGTGTGCCGCTATCTTCGCGGGGTGAAATGGAGGAACTGGTCACGATAGCGAAGTGGAGATAGAAGAGATATCAGAAGACTCGCACGGAAGTTGGAACTACATGGTTACCATCGTGGCGGGCATCAACAACTATAAATTTTGACCGCTGCCCCGGACCAGAACCGCAACAGCATCAAACCTTTATTCTAGTCTCCTCAAGATGGACAACATTGAAAAATCACCAGCCCAAGACTCGCGAGAGCCTTCGGAGCCTGAAGTGTTCACCAAGGATGTGAAGCAAGTGGATGGTGCTGCTCTCTTCCTGGCCGAGGCAGACGTCGAGAGCGCAAGCTTTTCTGCGGCACAAGAGAAGAAACTGCTCCGCAAGATAGACTGGATCTTGCTCCCAATGGTAATGCATACCTCGTCCGGCCACTTGAATCTCACTGACCCATCCTAGCTTTTCCTCACTGCTACGCTCGGTGCTGTCGACAAAGTAGCACTCTCAACCGCTGCCATCTATGGCCTGCGTGATGATATCCATCTCCACGGCCAGCAGTATTCATGGCTGGGATCGATCTTGTCCTTGGGTGCTCTCGTGGGCATGTTTCCTTCCTCTGCACTCATGCACAAATTCCCATCCGCCAAATACCTCTGCTTCTGCTCGTGCGGGTGGTCAGCCATGGCGTTGGTGTTCCCTGCATGCACCAGCTGGCCAGGCCTGATGGCGGTGAGATTTATCATGGGTGCCTTTGAAGCCATCATTGTACCCGGAATCTCAGTGTTGATTGCAGGCTGGTACAAGAAAGAAGAGCAGCCTCCACGCAATGCGTTGGTGTTTGCTGCAGCCAGCTCGGTCTTCAATGGTTTTCTGTCCTGGCTCATCGGCTACATACCTGAAACTGCTGCACTCTCCAGGTGGCAGTATCTATACCTCCTGGTTGGGTCGATCTCTATGGCATGGTCGATCTTTGTCTTCATCGCCCTTCCAGACTCACCCATCAACGCTGGCTTTCTCACCAAAGAAGAGAAAGTTTTTTGGATTCGCCGTCTCTCCGAGAACAAGACTGGAATCGTTAATAAGACCTGGAAGTGGGACCAAGTCCGTGAGGCACTTATGGATCCCAAGACTTGGATTATTTTCTTCTTTAATATATCCATCAACATCCCCAATGGCGGATTGACCACTTTCAATGGCATTATCATCAAAAATCTTGGCTTTACCTCCAAGGAGGCTTCTTTGCTCTCCATGCCAACTGGAGTGATGTCTACACTGGCGTCTTTCACCTTCAGTTTGATCGCTGCGAAGTGGAACAACCGTCGCTGCTTGGTGACAGTCTTCGCCTGCTGTGTTCCAATCATCGGCACTGGAATTTTATACGGTGTCAGTCGCACCTCCATTCCCGCACAAATGGTGGGTCTCTACCTCGTGTACACGTACTTCGGTCCTTACGTGGTGGGTATCTCTTTGGCCCAGGCCAACACAGCGGGTAACACCAAGAAAAGCGTCTCCTTCGCCATCCTCTACATTGGATATGCAGTTGGTAATCTCATCGGTCCTCAGACCTTCCGTGCTAGCCAAGCTCCTGCGTACACGGGTGGTGTGGTTGCAATGCTGTGCTGCTACTGTGCGTGCATCGTTCTGATTCTTGTGTATTGGTTTGTGTGCCTCAGAAGGAATCGACGCGTGATAGAAGCGCGGGACCCGGTGGAGGCGGTAGAAGAGAACTTCCAGGATACTTCGGACTGGAAACAGCATGGATTCAAGTATACTACATAGGACATGCGAGAGACACTAGGTGGCTCACCTGATCAGATTGATAGTTCGTGAGTAGTTGAGTGGGCAAGAAGTATGGGCTCCTCATTGGTTTGTGACAAGGAATCCACCAGTGTTCTGGGATATAGAATGATTCTAGCTGAAAGTTTGTTATCGGGACCACTATGTCACCGGAGAACCCCTATTGGGTTGAGATCAAGAACCCACTATGGGGCTCACTATATTAGTTATACCGAGTAAAAGAGTCTCCTGTGAGATCGGAGAATCGATTTTAATCCCGACAATGGATAGTGGACCCGAGCTCCTTAACTAGTTAGGTACCTGAATACGAAGAATAAGACAACGCTCAACAAAGACTGAGGGTATGTCAGGTGCTTCGAAGAATAGTGTATCCACATATTACCTTCCATATTATATCGTTTACACCACTTATCCCCATGAGCTTACACGTTTCCCCAATCTTTCCCTTTTCTCTCGTTCGAATATCCTGCTTCGCAAACTTCCGCCACAATGACTAGCCCAAAGTCTCAAGGTCCAGAGAAAGCCTCGGCTTATGGGCCTGAAAGTTCAATATTCATTGTTGGCGCCTCAGTATTTGGTCTTTCGTCTGCCTACCACCTCGCTACCGCCGGCTACAGCAACATCACAGTGTTCGACCGTGCTGAGAGCCTTCCAACCCCGCACGCTGCAAGCAATGATTTAAACAAAATCATTAGAGCCGAGTACGGTGTGGGACATGCCACGGATGATTTTTACACTGATCTAGCACTGGTAAGACTCATTCTCTTGAATTCTTACATGTTCGCTTCACAATGCTTCTCAGGCACCAGGATTTGGATTGTAACTTGGAAATGGTGAGTATTGAAAGACTAATTCGGCCTGCCTATAGGAAGCAGTCGAAGCCTGGTCCTCACCCGATTGGGCATCATGTTTTCGCAGAACAGGCTACGTGCGCCTAGCACGCCAAACAGAATCGCAGAAAGCGATCAAGACGGATATGGAATATTTCTCTAAACCTCGTTCACAAAGCAATGAAAACAATCGGTGGTTCCCACCACATTCATTTCACCCTCTGTCTACCCCAGAGGACATTCGACAACTCATACCGCAGATGATCGACACGGACATAGGTGAGGAATACCAAGGTGTGCTTAGCAAGTATGCGGGGTATGCATTCGCCTCAAAAGCCATCGAGCTGTTGCATCAGCGTTGCACGGATTTGGGTGTCAGGTTCTTCCTTGGTGCGGGCGGCGACATAACCCGGCTACTACGAAAGCCTTCGGATCAAAAACTCATGATCGGGATCGAGGCATCAAATGGCTGTCAGCATCTCCACCCTCCAGGAGCGTCCGGCTTGACCATTCTGGCTATGGGGGCACACCTACCAAGATTATTACCGGAGGCCAGAGCTCAGCTCACAGCCAAAGCATGGTCGGTGGCGCATCTGGAACTCACCTCATCGGAGGCAGGCTTGCTGAAAGATTCACCCGTGATAAGTCTGAACGACCTTGGATTTTGGATTGAGCCTGTCCTCGTCAAGCCGGAAGAAAAGGAAGCCTATCCGTACCTCCTCAAGTTCGCCGCACATGGAGGTGGCTGGACACAAACTCTTGAGGATGCTTCAAAGGACCAAAATCAAGGAGGAGCAACACCATGCTCACATCCGCCCCAAGAACCTATCTATGCCATACCTTCCTCCGATGAAGAACTGCTCAGGAAACTTGTTCGACTCACTCTCCCGAAGGTACTGCATGATCGACAGTTTGTTAAAAAATCGATGTGCTGGTGTGCAGATACAGCATCTTCAGACTTTCTAATCGATTTTGCTCCGGGATATCGGGGACTGTTGGTCGCTGGTGCGGACAGCGGACATGCTTTCAAGTTCCTACCTATCTTCGGGAAATGGGTAGTAGACGTCGTGAGGATTGGCGAACAGGCTGAAGAACGATGGCGCTGGAAAATTGGTGGTAATCGTTCTGATGTTGGTGACAATGTAGCGTGGAGGGGAGGCAGTGTTAGAGATCTAAACGATGTTACTATGACTAGATAGTCTCACAGTCCTGAATATGAGGGCGACGAATGCCTCTTCTTATGAGATTGAATTTCAAGCTGATACTGTACAACATATCTGAATAGAGTCCTATTAAGGTGCGGCAACTGAGTACAATCACTTCTCCAGGTCAGGACGATGGCAATCCCTGTTGATGACCTCGGCTCTTATGTCACTAACGGGGGCGATATCGCTCTGCCAAGACGGTAGAAGTGCGGAATTGCTTTGTCGTCTCCCGACGTGCTTTAGACAACCATTCCACATCTCAGCTAGTAGGCTCTGACTTTCCACAGTTCCATTTGTTAGATCCTTATGGGAGAAAGCTGGACAATGGTTGTCTTGAATTCCTTGTGAAAAAGAGATATAGCCCGGTAGCAAAGAGTTGCACAAACCAAACTTCGGCGGGCAATCAAGATGCAATCTATCAGGAACACGGCCTGTACATACTGTCGCCAGATGAAGGTGGGTTTGATGCTGATATCTGTTTTTTGTCGTCTTCTAGATCAATTTTACTCACCGTGGCCTGCATAGCTTGCCTGCGACGCGCAGACACTCGCTCCGGCGCCATGTACACGTTGCTCTAAGAACCATCTTACATGCCATGTTGACCCGAATTTCCGGCGAACAGCTAAGAGAAGGTCTGGTTGACGAAATTATTGTTCTATGCAGCTGGTGACAGGAGATAGGAGACTACAGGAACTTGAGCAAGAACTCGAGAAGAGAAATTCATTGAACAGGACGGCCAATGAGACACGACCATCTATACTACCATCACCAGTTCCTCAATTTACGACAGATGATCTACCGCCGTCAGTTGCCCCTTTTGAGGTGCAAAAGCCCATCTTCCACCCTCGACAAGTTGGCGACGTTATATTGACTGCAGTGGCCATCGAGGAGATTTTGCAGCAGTAAGTGTTTGGGGCGATTATGTATCCCGATAGCTGCTGACAGTCAGCTACTTCACGGTATTTCATCCTTCCTTCCTGGTTACTGCGGACCAAGATCAATTCTTGAAGACCTGGGACCAAAACGAATTCCTCCTGTGGACTATTGTGGCCATCGCTTCAAAGTCAACGGATGCCTACCCACATTTTCATGCGGCTCTACAGCCACACGTCCGCCGTCTGGCAAGTGATATCTACTCTCTCGACAATGATCCGCTGCGAAATGTGCAGGCACTATTGTTGCTTTGCTGGTGGCCATTTACTTTTGCTGCCACTAAAGATGATCCCTCGTGGGCATATTGTGCGCTAGCCGTGCACATTGCACTCAAGCATGGTTTCCACAGACCTGGACGCCATTCAGACTATGTCTATAATAGCATGCTGGATGCTCATCAGATGCAAATGTACGATCGCACTTGGGCTGGATGTGGTATCATAGATCAGTCGTAAGTCTTGAGGCTGATATCTTGTGACTATTAGTGACTATAGCAGATTGAGCTCCCACCTAGGCATCCCTGCTACCGTCCGACTCAGGGCTGTCGCATCGAAAATACTGCCCTCAGTCATAGGTCAACTGCATCGAGTTGCTTGCCATGCTTACCAGATATGTCAATCTATTGGAGATTGTGATGAAGGCTCCACTGGGCTTCTACCCAATGCCATGAGCATAATTCCGACTCTCGAATCACACCTGAATGTGCTGGACGGTGATTTATGTGATATTTCCGAGCCAATTGTTGATATAGCTCTCCTTCGAACAAAACTGCAACTGTATTCGTTTGTATTCATCGCAGATGGAGTCACATCAGTAGCAAGTGTCGAGATTTCTGTCATCTTGGCAAAAGCAAGCACAGTCGCGGTTGGTCTTATTCACATCGCGACTACACGCATACTCCACAGACCTTGGCCAGCAATGGTGAAGATGTCTGTCTTCTTTGCTGCCAACTTTCTGCTTTTTCTATCGACATTGCCAGGCCAGGATAACCAATTAGTCGTACGCAACGCCATTAACGAGTCATGGCGCACCCTCCAATCGCAGTCGGAGTTCGAAAACGACTCGTGTTCAAGATGGTCACAAATTATTCTGTACCTGAGCCAGATTTACTCTGAGAAACCTTCTTCCCATCAGCCAGTACCAAGTGTCAAATCTCGCATGTCATCCAATATTACATGGGAAAATGTCTGGAGGGCACGAACGCGGTTCAGCGAACAGCTTCGTGGTTCGAAACCCTCGGATTACACTCTTGCGGCCGCTCTTGAAAATGCGGCAAGCCTGGATGTCGTAGATCTTACATTTGACCCTCAATTCCTTCATGGGTTTGATGCCGAAGAGGCTTCGAATTGGTTTGCTGAGATATGAGTCTGCCCCGGAATACCCCAGTAGACACTCCCTTCAAAAATGGGTGAATCTGCAGATTTCGCTACATCACAAGGCTCAACTCTCTGAGAAGCCTCTCTGATAAGGGTAGTGACCGCAGAGGTGCGGAAAATTGGCTACCATGCACATCGTCCTCCATAAAACCTCCAGAGCAACTTGGCAAGCCCCTTCTCATTCTTGAAAAAGTTGCTTTGAATGCCATTGCGGGGTCGAAGAATCCTGCCCATACGATCTCCTTTTCGGATAGAGTGTACGCTTTTGCTACCACACTTTGACTCAAGAGATCAGAGCTCTTGACCACTTTGTAAACTGAGGGGTTGTCAAACATTACATCCAGTGTAACCTCGAAAGGCCCTGAGTTCTTGGAACGAATGACTTTGGCAATATCAAACAACGTCCGGGGAGAGCCAGCTGGGGAGATTGCCTTGATTTTATCCGTATGCTTCGCCTTCAAAACTGGGAGAGTTTGGTAAAATTTGTGGTTGGTCAGGATTTCAATCTGATAGTCAGGGAGTGTACCGTCGCCAATTATTGTTGATGACCAGCGGAACAGGGCTTTCGATAAATCTTCACCTTCTTCTTTAGCATGCTCTTCTTCATCTGTTAAGCTCATCAGGTGGTAGACTGAAAATTCGGTGCACTCCCCAACCTCAATTTCGAACTTTCCGCCGATACCCATCCCAAAATTTCCAGAAGTCGCTTTCTGGCCGGGGTATGATCCATGGGCAAAGTGAACCCGAACAGCGGAGGCAAGGTTCGCAGCGGCTTTTTGTGTCGGAGCCAAGGTTTCTGTCACGACAAAAATCTGGCTGGGAATAATCTCGGGTCTGGTCCTATCGAATCCGTAGACATGGAAACCTATATCCCAACCACCTGAAATATTCTGATTTTGTGTTCGTGCATAATCTTTGGCGGCGGCAAGGAAAGGATGGATATAACTAATCAGAATAGGGTCGCCAAAAGACCCCATCATCAGTGTTCGGAATCCTGTCACCCTGGCACCTTCCAATTTCACTGTGAATGGTTGATTATTCCTTTGCGCCAGGGAGAACTTCGAGCCTGCAACACGTGTCGTAACTGAGTCCTCCAGCGGAGTATATGTAGCAGTCGACACATCGAGGGCACCGCCTGGGCCTGGCAATAGGTCTGGCCGAGTCTTCTCATACAAAGTATGTGCAGCGACACTGAGCGGAACACATTTAGCCATGGGATCGAGTGGGCGAATATCCACACTGAAATCAGAGTTCACGATTCCCATTGCTCCCAGTCCTTTCGGCGTTGCACAAAGACCTCCGCACTCAAGGATCTTTCCCATGTGGTACAACCCGCCCAGTTGATCAGAAGACAGATTTTTGATATCGCGATGCTTCGGTTCAAGAGCGTGATAGGCTGCAAAAGCGACATATGGAGCAGGATCATAAGCTCGTCCGCCAATCATGATATGAAAGTCCGGATTTCGGATCATTGCGTCTAAGTATGGTTCTGGGCCCGTCTGTGCGACGATCCGAGGGGTCGTATCAATTATCTCATTTGTGAGCTTGGGAACGGATGCGCCACATCCTGAGATAGCACCGTTCTCAAGCCTTTCTCGTACAATCGATTTGTCGACCTCTGAGTAAATAGATACGACTTTTAGCTTCCAATATCTATTATGGTTGTCAGCCATCTAAAAAGAATACAGGTATCTGGAACTTACTTGTTGGCTTCCTCAGCAGCAATCTCCCGTACCATATCTTGGAATGTATTGACGTGCTCATCGCTACCATCACCGCCTGCAGAAGACAGTATAATCGGTGTGTGATATTTGATGGACAGAGCGATGAGTTTACGGAAATCACGCATATAAGCATCATAGGGGCATGTCATTGACCCAAGTGCGAGCTTGGAAGGTCCTGAGTCTGTTGAACCCGAGTCCAGGATAAGTGCTGTTGGTGCTGGTGACTGAGCACATACAGCTAAACTTGCTTCTGTCCACTCCTCATTAAAGCCATAGCCAAACATGCCCACCGGAGTTACAATTTGGCAGATGGGTTCCAGAGCTGGCTGGTGACTCGGGTGAGATGGTTCTTCGAAGACGGCCGACGGTGCCATTTTGGTAGTCGCAGCTATAAACAATGAAATTCGGATAGAAGATGGTAGTTTTGCCACAGCTAGACCATGGGATTGGTCTAAGTGGAAGGCGTGTTGTGAAGCGTCTCGGCCACGGAAAGACACTCATTGCGTTTCTTATAACGCCATGGGACGTGGACTCCTACTTTCCTTTCGCAGCCGATCATGACATGAAGCCATGACACCCCTCCTTCTTGACAGGCGTATCTTGATGGTCCGAGCGAAATCGCAGGCAACGGAGTCAGCCTTGTGGGGCACATTGTCTAGCAAAGACAATTAAAGTGCTTGTTTACTGCAAAAAGAGTGACTGGAAAGAACTTGACCCGGAGCGATATCTTCAAGTGGTTAGCCAATCAAGCTCAAAGGCTCTTTTCTCGTGCCGAGCGATTTCTTCATGCTTTCATCTTTCGCTGGGGCGATATCGCGTTGGCGGACGATATCGCCCAGTCTAAGTTGGCGAGACTCAACTCCACACACCACTCAAGTTCGACCAACGCTACTTGCCCACAAAACGCTATGTCCATTATTATTATTCCTGCCTACAATGTGCTCGCTTTTGCGGGGTGGCCTTGTCGGGAGTGTCCAAGGCAAGTAGAGTCCGGGGTGTAATCCTTGAACTCGGGCTCGGGGGGCGGCCGATTAGCAAGAACGCAGAATTATAAGAAGAAGCTAGAACCTCGTTGAATTTGCACACTCGTTGCGTTCGCATCTACATTCGAGGACTTGCTTGATCCTTGACCCTTTTCTCCACATCTATCTTACAGATATACTTGAACATCAGCACCAGAAAGACTACCTCTCAATGGCTGGTGGTGTCAAAAAACCTGTCAACATCTTCAAGCTCAAGCAGCTGGGTATCCCCAGACAATCGCTTAACTGGCGACTATGGCTCGCGGTGTTGAACTTCGGTCTCCTTGGTACCGCTCGTGGTATTGATGAAGGCCTGATTACAGCAGCTTTCAACTCTCCAAGCTTCCAGAAGCTTATTCATTTCGACCAGTATTCGGCTGTTGAGAGAGCCAATATCAAGGGCAATGTCACAGCTATGGTGCTGTTAGGCTCCATACCAGGGTCTCTCATGTGAGTCTATGGTGTTGGCCATCTTTGGAGGTCCCTTGCTCAACTACATAGCGCCGCATATGTTTGTGATCGCCTGGGACGACTTTGGGCGATGCGCGAGCTATGCATAGTCTGGATTCTCGGCATAGTGATCTTCATGACGAGCAATGGTAATATGGGTGCAATCTATGCAGGTAGATTCATTGCTGGAATTGGTATTTGCTGGACCAAGTTCTACAATAACCCGGTCACTAACACATCTTTGCAGGCGTTGGACAATCCGTCGTTGTCGGCCCAATATACGTTGCAGAAATTGCTCCAGCGCCCATTCGAGGTCTCTGCACGTGCTTTTATGCTGGATTTGCATACTCTGCCCTTGTAGTTGCTTATTTTGCAAATTATGGAGCGGCTCTACATCAGCATGGAAAACCAGTTCAATGGGTAAGTCTGAGCTCTTTTTGTCGGAATGTTTATACGATGGACTGACTTATCTTTTCAACAGTATATCCCCACAAGCCTCCACTTCATTTTCGCCACTCTCGTGCTCGCTCTGTCTCTATTTCAGACGGAGTCTCCCCGATACTTGATGAAACGTGGCAAGAGAGACCGCGCTATCATGGCAATGTCTCGAATCCGCAATCTTCCTGCTACAGATCTTTATGTTGTTGAAGAAATTGCAGATATTGAGCAGCGCTGGCACGAGGAGCAAGAGACCACCCGAGGACAAGGCCTCTTTGGCTTAATCAAAGAAATATTTCTGATTCCAAGCAATTTGTTCCGGCTCTATCTTGGTGTTGGCGGCCAACTTTTAGCGCAATGGTCTGGAGCGGGCAGCATTACCATATATGCTGTCGATTTTTTTGCGCTGGTCGGTATCACGGGGAGGAATGAATCCCTTCTCGCGACCGCGGTATTTGGGGTGGTAAAGTTCGTTGCGGCCATGAGCTGTATGCTTTTCTTGGTAGACTTCATTGGCCGAAAACGATCTCTTCTCATTGGTATTGCTCTTCAAGCCATCAGCATGCTTTACGTGGCGAGCTACCTCACATCTGAACCCCGACTCGGTGTCTATGATGATTATGAATTGCCACCTGCCAAGGTTGGTGCTAGCGAAGGCGCCATTGCCATGATATATCTGAGTGGTTTCGGATGGGCGCTTGGGTGGAACAGTATGCAGTATGTGTTGACTGCAGAGTTATTCCCCCTGAGAATTCGAGCAGTGTGTACCTCAATTGTCATGTGCATCCATTTTGCCAACCAATATGGGAATGCAAGAGCAGTACCGAATATGCTACTGCCCAGGTCAGATGGCGGTATTGCGCCCACCGGGACATTCTGGACCTTTGCAGCGATTACTGTTGGTGGGGGGCTATGGGTTTTGTTCTCTCTTCCCGAGACCGCTGGTCGATCCTTGGAATCTATGGATCGACTTTTTCAGCTGCCCTGGTATAAGATTGGCCTTTTTGGCAACCAGGACGCTGACAATCGGGACAACGAAGAAACCGTGAACGAGAAGAATGTGCATAGTGCAACGCACATTGAGATAAGCCATCAGGAACCCGACAAAGCTGAACCACACGGTTCTCACCAAGTATGAGTTTGCGTTCGAATGGATGGCGTTGTGATCCATGTGACGAGCCTATGACCATGGCTACCATACCGCACTTCCGGGTGGACTCAGACTCGATCAACGTTGTCGCAAAAATTCTGAGAACATGATTGCTAGGCGGTTGTGACATGAGCGCCTATCCTGGCCTAGTGAGTTGAGGAGCGACTATATTAAGTGATAAGCCCCTATCTATGGTTGCACTTGTCTCATTAGCTCTTACTAGTCTCAACTTCAAATCTGGAATTGTGACATGGCTTGCAGCGATAGTTGGTGAGGGGGATTTTCAGAATCATACATTTTTGCAGAGTCTTATTCTTTTCGATCGAGCGTCGAATCCGTAAATGTTCAATGCATCCGTACTATATGCTGTAGATCATGAATGGACCATCTTGATTTCACAAGTCGTGCCTACGTGGCTGCTAAGTCGAATTTGCTTCTGACGATTGCAGGTTTCTATCCAGAGCTGAGAGGAACCTTGGACGTGATCATAATTGTTGTTCAAGCATTTCGATGATCAACTGGTGCCATGTCTGATGCTCGGTGAGGATGGCGTTTTCTGAGTTAGATCACTTTTTAGCACGCACTCCAGACAATCCAATAACGCACCCGAACAGGGCATTCTGCAAATTTCACCAAGGAGTTACTGAACCACTAGTAGGTCCTCTAATTTTTTACCAATTGCTGGACTCGTAATCAGTTCAGAGAAAAACTGTTACGGAAACACATATGACATAGGGAATGCCACCGTGGCTGGTTGAATCGATACCATCTGTTTCACTCAAACATTATGCTTGCAAAACCTCAGAAATGGCCATCCAGTGGGCCCAATTGGCAAGAGGTGCGATATCCTGTGATTGAGACTCTTCGGTGTCTCACCCGCCTTAACGGCGATTCCATTTTGTCTCAGTATATGTGGCTTTTCTTTGTTGTGTCCCAATTCTTTGACTGTTTCTTTAACGTTTCAAAGTTCTCTTTGTCACAACTACAAGGCTTTGTTCATGGGGCACAGTTTTACAGTCTAGTGAAGATGTAGAGAACAATGAACGAGGGCCACATCGATCTATAGAAGTTTAGCTGTCTACTGCCTTATAAGAGGCCTGTCAACTTGAGGTAGCTCATGCTTTTAAATCATTACACAATCGCACTCAAATAGCTCTTGTCAGTAGTCTACTACTGACAACAGAACCACAAACAGAAAGCCTTAAATACTTCTTCACTCGGTGTTCGGAAGCAATGCCTCACCCACCCGGCGTTGAACCGACACTTCAGGGACTGCCAGCAGAACTCCGTCATAAGATCTTGACGAAATGCGTCGACTACAACACCAATCGTGTTGAGAGAAGATTTTGGCGAGAGTTAGAGGCCGCAGAGTTCAGTTCAATGGTACGCTCAATCACCCCAATTGATGATAGCGTCTCTGCTAACCACGAACATAGTCAAAAGGGGTACATGCTGAACGCCCAGTGCCAACTGGATTACTCAGTGGTGCTTTCAGACAAGGCAAATTATCAAGAGAGCTGCGAAATCGTACGGAAGATTAAATTCGTCCAGGTTGATGGATTTACTGATCGAGAATTCGAGGCCCTGTTTCAACATGGCACCATCCCAATATGGAGCTATCAACTGGTCCTGTACAAGCAAAATCCAGTGACGCAAAGCTTACCACCCTGCAAGATTACCCCGGTTCTCAATCTCACTATCTTCCGCATGACAGGAAACACTATCTTTGTAAATATCAAAGATCTGCCACTCGTTTGTAAGTCCATCTATGAATCTTCATCACGAGGCGCGATTGCTTTGGACATCCCGGTGTCGATTCTAAAGTTCACAGTTCCACAAGAAGGCATTACTCCCACATTTTGGGACCTCAAGACTGGCGTCGAAGTCAAGGAATTCTTATATTGCGGAATCATTCGATATATTGGTGGGTGGATCACAAACCTCCTTTGGGAGGAGGATCTCACCAGAATTTGGGGTGCGACGACCTCTTCTGTGCCGCTTCCACGCCCTATGAATGAATTGGAGGCATGGATTGTTGAGAACATTCAACCTTATCAACATAGCACCGGGGCCAATAGGTTTAACTATCTGTTGGACCTTGCCGAGTCGAAGTTCTTGGACGCTGAGGGAATAGTTGTTTCCCCCGGTCGTTTTCTCGACGCTGTCGAACTCTACGTCGAAGCTAAGGACCTGTTCCATCAGCTCCTCAAGGATGAAGTTGACATGCATGCCGTTTTAGGCGACCAAGAGATTCAAGATCTTTTCACGAGTTACAGCATCTGCTGTCTCCGCTTGAGTACCATGACGACTCATATGGAGGACATGATTGATAACAATAGATTTGCAACCGAGAAAGCTGTCACACAATAGGCATACATCAATTGTGTTGAGGCTCTCAGCATGGTTGGAAACATTGCCAATCTACCAGAATATAGGGCGAAGCTTCTCTTGATGCAAGCGGCAATCCAATTGGGAGCCGATGCTTTTGCCGATATTACGATGGCGAGTGCTCTCTGTCTCGCTGTGTATGAAATGTTGAAACTTCGTGAGCCAAATATGAGCCACGGTGATCTTGTCCTAGCCTCTGAAGTCTACTTGAAGAATGTGGATGACCCCTATCCTCCGACTGGGTGGGAGAATGAACTCACAGAGTTCCAGGGACGCCATTTCTTTGTGAACGAGACCAAGTCAACAGCATCTTATGCTGGGCAAAGAATAGTGGCTCCAGAAGAATGGTCACGACAGATCCTTAAAGTTAAGGCTCTCATTGAGAGCCAGTTTGCTCAGACTCCAGATCCGGCCACCGAGGAATAAACCCCAATTCTCAGAGCCTCCCCAAAGCTCATCTGTACAAAAGTTGAAACATCCTTTCGACGATGAACAGCATCAGGTTCAGAATGGCGCATGGCGCTTGTGAGAATATTCAGTAAGATCAATGCTCAACAGATCAGCTTTAGTTACAAGTGCATTAACATCCAAGAAACTCTTTGAATTTTTCCTTGTTCTCCTTTTCCTTTCCACTAATCCCAGTATTTAGGGTTGACTTTCTATATCCCCGTTGTTCGCTCGAGACCTCAGGTTGTCGGGCTTGTTTAACCACTGAGCTTTGAGACCCTCGAGCAGTCGGAGCGATTGTGATGCCCTTGCCTTGGTGTGGCACAGTCTGGGAATGAGTTCTCACTCCTGCGCAAGGCTTCTTCCACGACCATTCTTCGCAGAACATTTCCCTAAATAATTTGAAATCCGGAAAGAGAATGCTATCAACCGTACCATAAATAACATTTTCTCCAGAAGGATATCTTCAATAAAGAAATCTTTTTCTGTCACCGGGTTGTTACACCTGATTAGTTCCAGATCAGTACCTCTGGGCTTGCAAGTGGGAGCCAAGAGAAGGTTTAGCGTTCTGATAAGCGAGCTCATTGCGTAGTATGCAATGCGCCCACGATCAAAAAAGTTCTCGCTAGGCCATGCGATGAGGGAAAATGCAAAAGCAAGGATAAATTGTTATCCTACTTCAATGTGACGTGAAGTAAATAAAGTAAACAAACCTCGGAACTTGCAAGGCGAATCGTGCCCATCCAACTATTTTGATCAACGTGACTTGTTCGCTGGGTTTCACTGGTATCACGCAACGATCTTAGCGTTGCTCGTATTTGTGTAGCTGAATGCAGGCAATGGAGAAAACGATCGCCAGCCCATCACTGACATCATCGAGTATTTCAGGTTTTTCAGTGATCGATACGTCTGGACCAGACTATGGATGTCTAAGAAAGCTTTCTTGTAGACATAGCCCAAGCATCACGCATTTGTTCTGATGGTTTGATGGCTTTCCCCCTTCCCCCTGATTGCGCTCTGAACAAGCTTGGTGAGTGCGAAATAACAGGGAGCCTGAGAGAATAGCCACGAGGATGCCACCGTGCGATTGAGGCAAGCATTGCATACAGCCTCGTCGTGATGATAGATAGCCAAGTGCAACAAAATGTTCCTGGGGAGTGTAATGCCATATAAGCATTGCTCGAGGGGCAAGAGCAACGTGGATGATTTCCCCCAAAAGTACGGAGTCCGCTGGGTCTTGAAGCACGACCTCGTATTAGTTTAGCTTAGTTCAGAGCTTGATCTTCGTTCGCTCGCAAATTGGGCGCCTTAATATCGTTAGCTGGGGAATCTTTGGCTTGTGGGGCTGAGAAATGAACCTGTTTGCGCCAGCCCAGATGCACCCGTGTTTCACAGCTGTGGCCTTACTGCAGCGACAATCTCAGACCGTGCGTTTCAGCTCCGGCATGTCAAATAGCCAAGTTCTACATAACCAATCTTTGGAGCTGTTGACCATATGATTGATCCAAGTTTCGTAAATACAAACATTGCAAGAGGTATTCACGCGGCCTAGCTACAACTTCTTTTCCAGGGATTCGCAGTCAAACAAACCCCACTACCATCACCACGATGCCAAAAGTCACACTTACCGAGCATGTCGGGTCGTACACGGCAATCTCGAAAAAGATGCCGCAAGGCCTACAGGCTCTAAAACTGCTGCTGAGTCTCTACGACCTCGATATTCCTGACCGTGCGGCATTGGAGGAACTACTAGCGCCTAGCTTTCATGAGACTGAGAATGGCAGTGACAGAACCATCAGTCGGAGCGAAGTCATCGAGGCGATTGTGACAATCAGAGACAAGTACAGCAAGCATCAATTCGATCTCAAGCACGCCTACTGCATGGAATACACTGGTTCCCACCACACAGTTTTCTTTGAAGCGGTACGATTTCTGTTTCTGCAAGGCAGCACCAACTGGGTCAAGGTTCCTGTCTCTGGGAAACTCGATGTCAAGATTACGCAAAACAGGCTTATGCTGAAAGATGCTGTAGTTGTCATCACCGCCCGAACCATGACTTCAGACACCTCTCAAGTGGTTGCAAGAGATTTAATGCAGTCTCCTCGTTCGCCGACCCTGACTTCGGATTTGCCTGATCTCACGGCAAACCGATCCTCTGTCAGACTGGACACTCCTAGTGTCCCTGAACTGCCGGCAGCTGTGGCGGTGCCGAGGGAGGAAAAACCTCTTCCAGGTCTGAGAACAACGGGCTCTTCCAATACTGGAGTTACCCGAACGCCAACCGTTACATCAGGAAGTTCTGCTGAGCTTGACGGAAGTACCAAGGCATCTTGGAATTGAAACAGGGTTGAGGACGCTCAGCATCCGGGCGTTACTCTTGCCAGTTGCTATTGCTGGACTTTTCGATCTCCATGAACCAGGCCATAGACTGCTTCTACGCTATCCTGGGTAACAGGTAGCGTGGTCCAACGGGTCTTCCGCACCAAAGTTCGATCCAGACACACTTTATGACGAGTGGAAAGACTTGGTCCAAGGGAGGTACAAATATTCACACTAGTGATGAATACATTGCCTGTGAGGTTATGGTCGGAGGAACAGAGGTCGGCTGTGTGTCGATGGGTGTCGCAGTATGACACCCGATATCGTCTTTTTGGAATACCCAGGCCAATAGCGTAATCAGCATCTTTCCCAGCACTTGAAACCCGTTGTTTACTCCTCAGTGGATCCAATAGCTTTCAAGGAAGTGAATAGCTCTTGGGTAACGGGGCTGTCTTCTTCAGACTACTCCTCATTATCCATTCAAATCTATTCTCCATCTTGCTGAAGAAGCCTCTAAAGTCTCGGCCAGGAAACTCTGGATTGCGCCATCCATCTTTGCACCAGATACTCCAGCTGCCCACCTCACGTGCGACTAACACGTCCGTAGCTAGTCTGTCTCCAACGAAGACTATCTCCCTCGGGTCATCAGTGACTCCATGCTCCTTAAAATAAGCCAGCACATCGGGGCCGCAAAGTGGCTTCTTGCGACCCGGAGCTTGTCGTAGAACCGGCAGACCAAGTTCCGCTTCTAGCTGCTTTGCTTCAGCCTCGTGAGCAGGCGATGATGTGCTGCCGGCGGTATTTGAAACAATGAGAATGCTCTTTGGGTTGTGAGAGAACTCTGGGCTTTCTCTAATTTTCTCGAGTTTTTGAATATATGATATATGCATTTTGGCGGTCTCGGGTGGGCAGAGAGTATTGTCCTTGTCCAGGACCAACGCCCGGACAGTTGGCTTACGGCCGCTCTTATCTATTGCAGGAAGAGCATTTCCGACTGGGAGCGGTAATGAGAGAAGCGTTGGAATGGTTGCATGCGGGAGGAGGCATGATGGATCGTGGAGGGCATATGCCAGAGTCAATCGTAAAGCCGGCACATTGGAGAGGAGCGGCATATCAGAGATAGGAATTGGTAGATATAATATCCTAAAGACTTTTTCAGAGAACCCCCAGGCTGCGATCACCGCATGTCAATGTATTCGCGTCGAATGAAGTCCGTCATGATTCGTGAAATAAACGCGGAGATAAGCACGGAGTTAGTCATGCAAGTTTCGGTACCTGCGCCTGGGCCTGCGCCTGCGCTTGTGATTTCACTTCGACTTCAAGTTTGTGCCTCAACATCTCTTTCACGACCAGCAATATCCCGCTCGAAACGACACAGACTCCGATTGCTTTGGCCCTCACATCGTTCTGAGGAACCTCAAGATCCCATCCACCAGATTTTAGCACCGGAATACCCCACCTGAATTCCAACATGGGCAAACTCACATCCACCATTGGAATTCCCATAAAACTGCTCAACGAGGCACAGGTGAGCGGCATACAAGCTGGGACAATGTGGAACGATCGAATGCTGACTCTTGACCTCCTATAGGGCCACGTTGTAACCCTAGAGCTCACGTCTGGTCAGGTATATCGCGGTAAACTACTCGAAGGTTAGAGCGCACAAAATCACTCCTTGCGCCGCTATGCTCTGCGCTGACCGCAAACGACCATGGAAGCTACTGCTAACACATTGCTACTATAGCCGAAGACAATATGAATGTCCAGCTCAAGGACATCACCGCCACAGCCAGAGATGGTCGTGTCTCACATCTCGACCAAGTCTACATCAGAGGGAGCCACGTGCGATTCATTATTGTGCCCGATATGCTGCGCAATGCGCCCATGTTCAGATCGAGGGGTACGAGAGGTCGCGGTGTTGGATTGGCGCGAGGCAGAGCGACAGTGAACAGAGCCAGGGCAGGCCGGAGGACGTGAAGGATGAAAATATGCTGTGCCGGGTTCGCCCACCAAAAAATTTACGACCAGGGGAAAAAACGGGAATGCAAATCAATGATACCCAGAAACAATTTACCTCAAATACGAATTCGATGCTGCAGGGCAATAGCACTGGTCCTACCCGATATGCTATTTGGCATAGGAAGAACCAATCCAGAAGCAGAATCTTGGGTCTAGAGTGGCAGAGCAACGGGAGACCATGTGAACTACAAGTCACGCCGTCTTCTAGGGAATATTCGAGCATGTCTTTTTCATGGTCCTCGAGCAGTTATTAGCATGACAGAATCCTTCAAACCAAATTCTGCAGCCTTGCCAAGACCATATATCAAATACCTCTTACTAAGAAGGCACCTGCCATTTGAAATGCTTTTCCATCGCAGTAGATTAAAATTGTAAGCTACCTTTTCTTATAATCAAGAAAAGCGAAGTATGCTCCTATTTTGATTTCGATATCATCAAAGTCATCAAAAACAAACCAGAACTTGATTACCATACCGATACCGCGAAAGGCATGGCCTCGGTCAACCCAGAAGCGAAACCATCCGCTCTACGGCTGCTGATCCTCGCCCCAACAACAAGTCCTCAATCGAAACCTGCATTTCCATCACTACTCGAGGCATTAACAGGCTCTGCTCCGTCTACGGATGTCACATCGTTCGCTGGCTACACATCTCACTCGCCACTGCAACTTCGCACGAAATATTACCAGTCAGATGTGAGTATCTGGTGCGATGAACTACCGTTGCCAAGATTGGCCACTGGGGATGACTCTGTCTTGGAAAGTGGATCCAATGAACCACTGGAAAGCGCCAATGCCGATGCCTTAGATGGTGACGCGCCTGCACAAGTCGCGACGTCGACGCTTGAGGAGTGGAAGGAGCAAATGCTCTCGTCTGCCGCCGGAGAAGTGAGGAGGGTCATTGGCGGACTTGTGTTGGTTTTACCTGTCTCTACGATCGCAACGCCCGAGGTACCGGACCACTTCACGGCGTTGATCGAGACTGTCCATGCTTTACGTGAGGCGGTTGAGGATGATAGTTATGGACGAGATATTGCTTCCGTTCTGGTTCTACAAGGAAGCTCTCCCAGTTTGAAATTGGCTCAATTGGATACTTTGATGGAGAAACTTGAGGATGTCTGTCTGTCTGATAAAGGCATACTGGGCTGGGACTTTGTGGCTTGGGATGGTCAATCGGTCGACGGAGGTGAGGATAACGCCACGCGGGAGAGGAACGAGTATGGTGAGCAGACAGGGATCAAGCGGGTACTGGAAGTCGTTCAGGGAATCGACTGGTCAGTATCCCCCGATGCTGACGGGGATGATGACGATGGAGACATCGGGCTTGGTTTGGGAGACGATGAAGATATGGAATTCATCAACTCGCGCTCTACGAACATCCTCGGTTCTAGTGATTTCTCCGGCCTAGATCACGAGCTACAGCGAGAAATGATGGAATTAAAATTCTCTATGTTGAGCAACGAGGACGATGACAGTGAAACCATCGACACAAGACCTCGGCCAACGATTAGAGACCCAGACGATGAGGACTTTCAGATCGATCAGCTGCCGGCTTTGATGGAGCAAGTCGTAGCGATACGCGAGGCAGGTTTGGAGTTGGGCCCAGCGGAGAGGGAGAGGTTCGCGAAGAGGGAGATTGAGAGGATCATGCGAGAAATGGGTTGAAGCGTGGTAGATATTCTCCACTTTGCCATGGCCGCGCCGACTTGATAGATTGAAACAGGTGTACGGGTCTGAATGCAACTTCCATCATAAGTGATGCTCCTTAATCGGTCATGGCGTCTTGTATGTGTTGATCAAGGCTCCTGACCATCGATATCGCCGGCTGGACCCATGTGTAATATCCCTGTCCAGGACTTGACGAGGTTGCGGGCTGATCACAATGATCTCCAGTCATCGCTAAGCTGTATCGTTGTCACTCATTGAGGCATACCTGTGAAGGAGACCATCATATGGATCGCTGGCCATGCCTCAAGCCTCATGGACATTGTTGGTCATCACTGAACCAATGCTGAGCCCTCTCAACCATCCGGTTCGTCAAATGAAAGCTTGATCTTCTTGCCTTTCTTTTTCTTTGCAGCATTCATGTCTTTGTTCTTTGACACCACTGCTTCATCACCTGGCCTTGACAATTTGCTCGCATTTTTCGAAACCTCAGTAACACTCTCTTGCAAGTCCTCGTCGCCACCCACGACTTTTCCCACTTTCCTCTTCTTGGAGGCAGCCGACCCGCCAACTTCAGAGACTTTCTGCCTCTCGTGATTCTTTGCCTCTAGATTCTCTGTTCCATTTTTGCCGTGCTCAAGCTCCCCTTGAGTGTCGTCCTCAGCCAGAACAGTCGTCGCTAAGGCTTCTCCCGGCTTGTCCCCGTTGACTCTCCTTTCGAATTCCTCTTTGGCGACGGTCTCACCTTGCTCGTCGACAATCACTGGATCGTCATCGTCATCTCCAGCCTTCAGTCTGTCCCTCTTCGGCCGAGGCGCCTGGTATGTTTGCCGCCCGTCTTGGCCGACATAGTCGCCCTTTAGGCGCCGGAGAAATGCCGGCTCTTGTTTGTTGTACTGTAGATTTTTGGCGTTAAATGCCATTACTACCTGCTTTGTGGTATGATTGATTGTTTACAATATTGTTGCAGAGCATACCTATGTACCATGGTCGAGAGAACGTCGAAAAGTGAAGACGGGCGTGTCGGCCCATGGCAGAGAATATCCGCCGTAGGAATTCGACCTCCTACGTTCGAGCATATGGCACTAGTGGTACCCCATAGAAATTGTTGACGCAGACTAAGATTGCTGTTCGACCTTCTATTTCAGCCGTTCCGCAAGTTGAATTGGTCATATGTGTCAGGACATTGGCAGCCACAAGAGCCGTTAAGCGGAGTGATGGGAAAACGTTTCCGACCAAGTCCCGGATACGCTCTCCAGATCAAGCAATGTGGGCGCCTCAGGCTGGCCAGTAGCACCCCTCAGTTCACACGGCTCTCCACAATCAGCTTCCTTGTGGAGGGCGATGGATGGACCTCCGGTCGCATATGAATGACCTGCAGACAATGGGTTGCATCATGGCTATCTATAAGTCGACAAGTACTCCGTAGTCTGTAGGCTGCTATTCTGGACACACAAACTCCGACAAGCCAATCACGTTGGGTAAGCCCCAGTTTCAGAAGTACATAGGCGCCGACTATGTCGATTTTGCCTGGTTTCTGTCCTTGCGTCAGCTCCGCTCCACCCCTCCATCCAGCGTCCAAGCGCTCTGTTGGCAGTAGGATTCTTGTATAGTAATTATGGCATAGCTTCGGATACTGGGCGCTTCTATGACATGCGTGGTTGCGTGCGAAGGTGAGTTTGTTCTTCTACATAATGAGCTTCATGGTCATTCCGATGGATACAATGCCTCTTCATTTGGCTCAAGCATTGAATACTTCTTTGAGATAACAGCACTCAAATCGAAACGCAAATTTATCCATATTTCCCAGGTGTTCCTCGAAAACACCATCATGCCCAGTTCCATTGGTTCCTCGACGGGATCTGGTCGGTCCAGTCGATCGACAGTCTCTTCCGATGATAACTGCCCAACGGCCGAAGCCTCACTAGGCTCAAAAGAGTACCGGTTCACAACACTGGAGCCAAATCACATTGTTGTCGAGGACGAACCTATGGATGATGAACGATGGAGTCGTCTTGCATTTGCCTTGAGTATGCCATGCAAAGACATCCGTCGTACGAATCCCGAGGCTCGAAAATTTGCATTTCAAATGAAGAGACAGAAGTCAAATGTCAGCAGTAAACAGGTCACTGAGATGCTCCATCCCCTCATCAAATCTATCGTTAAACAACACAAGACCATCAATTGCAAACGCACGGCACAGTTCCATCGCGAAAGCGTGCCGGACGAGGTACCAGATTTCGAAATCGAACCTGGATGGAAAACGCAGCTGCCGACGCCCAAGCCGGCATTTACTCTAGGCTATTCCGAATCGGCGTTTAACTCACATCAACTCGAATTACAGCAAGGCATCATTGCAAATAATCGAAATGAGCCATGCGATTTGCACAAAGTTTCGCAGCCCATACCTAGCGTCTACTGGCCATTCTTTGTTGTGGAAACCCAAGATGAAGCAATGCTTGCAGCACGGAATGCGTGTGCGGGTTCTGCGGCAACCTGCAATAATGGGTTAATGATCTTTGCTGGAGCAGCAGAGGAGCATCGTGACCAATATATCGACATGAAATACGTACGGAATCTCAGTCAAGCGGTACAGTCGTTCTCGCTAGCCATCAATGGCAAGACCGCGTGTCTCAGCACGCATAACTCGGAGGGATGTCTGCCTCATGCTGTCAGTGCCATCAGAACTTATAAACTTGATGACGAAGATGATATGGAAGCACTTGCTTCACGGGTTCGAAGCATTCTTGTTTGGGCTGAAAACTGCCGGCTTTCGTCGATAACAGATTTGATCGAAAAATTCGACCGCCGTGTTCGGATGGCCAAGGCGTCGACTGGCTCCGCATCCCACTGTTATGACCCCATGGAGCTTGCTGACTTCCGTATGGCGTCATCCAAAAGGAAAAGTGCAATTGTCAAGGAAGTCTTCATGGATGGGCTAGCAAAATGGATTCGATACAGCGGCTGACTCGAACCACACATGAGTCTTAATAAGCATGAGTCGTGGAAGACATGAATCGAGAGTGTCGACCTAATCTAGCAGTTCTGCATGCCCAGCGGTTTCAAATATAGATAATGAGAGTTAGGTACATAATGCCAATTGGCCACTAGATACATGCTTCGTGTCCAACGTGAAATTGCTTCGCATGGTGTTGGCGCTTAAAACTCAACTGACGGGGAGCTGTGTGGGTCATGATTTAAGAAGCCTCACTGAGCTAGTTGGTCAATGAGCCCTTGACAGACACCGTGTCCGTGCGTATGCCGGGATTCCTGTACGGCCATACGTGGAAGTCTGCGGGGATGGACAGAGGAAAGAAGCTGTCAATCCTGTAGTTCGCTTGATGTCTCAAGACTGTGGAGTGCAGGCTTGGACTTCCGACAGGATAGCCCATCATAACAGGCTAGCCGGAAGTAAAATATCAGGCTTCAAGTTCGCGTGAGTTGTGGTGTGCGGATGCGGTTCTCAGCTATTCAGTAGCAGAGTCGAAATAAGCGCTTGGCTGATGTTGTCACAAAGCGGTCTATTCCCAATCCAGCTAGCCGGAGTGAGGCCTGTGTTTCAGAATGTATGTTGGCCCCTGCATCATTCATCAGGCAACTTCATCCTCACTGTCCTTTTTTTTCCTGCATCATCCTTCCTAGGTTCCTTTCCTGCCAATACCAGGCACAGTAGTTGGCGCGAAAGGACAATACGGCTACGGCTACGGGGATAAGTGTGTGCCGCATGGGAGTGATGGTCCTGACAACCACTTAGAACTCAGCCGCGCTCTCCCACTCCACCCATTGCCCGTCTCCAGTTGACCGCCTCGGGGGAACAAGAGAAGCCCACTGGTTATCTCACTGCACTCGCGGTTCTGAGAGCCATTTGGATGCCAACTTGCTCCCGAGAGCTCGGATCAGCGCTTCGCCGCCGCCTTGTTAGGAGTTTGTCACCGTCTCACTATTGGGAGAATACTTCCCTCATGACCCTTCTGCCAGGATACAGTCTGTCCTGGGTTTGATGACCATGGCCAGCGCTTCCAGGACTTACCAGCTTTCTGAGCACACTCCTGCCACCAGGACTGCTCTGCAAGCAACATCTATTTGTTCTCTTAGTCGCCCTTAGATTAAACTTTCTCTCTTCTCCATCTTCTCAGACTCTCCTCAGCATTCTCAGGTACTTGTGTGGCTCTCATTTCTCCTTACTGTTACCTTTGTCTATATGGACACTAAGATTTGCTGACAACTTTGCTACCCGAGTCCCACATTCGACTTGGAGACGCTTGAAGGGTAGTAATTGTCTATTATCAAGTTTATTGTTCTTGTTACATCCATTATATTGTTGTTCTTCAAGTGTCATTGTCAACACCAGCATCAGCATCAGCATCAACCCACAAAATCCTCGCCGTCTTCCATATGGCTTCAGTTGTTGAGCAAACCTCAATTCCTGTTGCTCCAGATTTACCACCAACATCCTACGATGGAAGTCACCTCCACTGGAAGGTCTTCCGAGAGGATGTTCTCAAGCCACATCGAATTGCCATTCACGATGTAGCACCAATGCAAGGCCTCCTTCCTGAGGCTTTGCTCACCATGATAGAAAGAGAGACAATGAATCCGGAACGCTTCGACGAACAAAAACAGTCATTTCGTGAACAGGTTGAGATCGGCCGAGGCTTCGGTCCAACTCCACTATTTCCACCAAATATTCTACCTTCAATTGAGTCTGAGGTCAGTCTGGCGCGATGTATGGTACCCTCTTTCAGTCGAGACGCATTGCCTGTACGAACAAGCAACCACAAGAGTCCTCTTTATGAATTATCAGTTCCACGTCCTGGGCTCGGCTGTGGCTTCTCTGCCAGCGCACTTTCATACGAAGAAACCAGTACCATGCCTTCTTGGTTGATGACCACTGGAACAATTGTTCATTTCGATACTGGCTATATATCTCCGGGTGCGCCTTTGTATTGCCCGTTTCTCACATTCGAGCGAACTTTGGGCGAAACACGATTAGAAACTGCCAACAACCAATGTGCAATCGCAGGGGCTTGGTGTGTCAGAGCATTGCAACTACTCTATGGTCAAGCATGGAAAGGACAGATGGTCCCAGAGATGCCTCTTTCCTTCTCTTGCACTATCGACAACACATTTGCCATATTGAATTTCCACTGGATTGAGAGTGACACGTATTGCATGGCACCACTCTGCAAGTTCGATCTTGGTGACGACGAGCATTTCACAAAATTCCTTGTGTGGATTGAGTCCATCGGCCGCTGGGCAGTCTCGCATCATCTTCCGTTGATAAAAACAGCATTGGAGCGCATACGGATCAAGGAGACAACCCCTCCAGCAACCCCACGACAGCCCAAATTGTCTGTGGCAACTGGTATGTGTCCTGATGAGATGCTTATCAAGTCTCTGAAGACGACTTTCAGCAACATTCCCTGGCGCTTCGAGGATGACGAGTTCACCCCTGTCAGCAGCAGCACTGCGAGTTGGGGCAGCCCCATAGTTACAAATGCCACCTTCGCCAACTTGGTCTATCCTATGATCGCCCCAGGCCAAGTCAAGAGTGCAGGGCCGCGGAGCGCAGCACCACGCTCTGCGATCTCCAAGCGCCTACTCCCCCAGATTGGTCAGCCTACACCTCCACCAGCATATGCTGCAAACCCCGAACTTGTCTGGCAAAAACGGTTCAGCCACGCGATGGACGAGATCCGGGATCTGCAGCAACAAATGCTAACCCTGAAGAGCGAAATCGATGGCTCGAATATGTCATTTCTGAGCGAGTTGTCCGGGGTGAAGACAACCATGACCTCGGTACTCCGAAAGGAGACTCTAGCTCTGCGAAATCGGTCGTTTTCTGCCAGTATGTCGGAGAACTGGACTTCACAGACAATCCAACGGAGTCCACTAGTCAACGAGATTCGACCTACATTTGTCATTGACCGTGCCTCACCTATGAGAGAGAAGCCCCCACCGCTCATGAAACAGAAATCAGCACCCAATTCCCCTGGAATGCTCTCACCTAACATGCACTCTCCTGGCCAGCCTTCTCCGGGTCTCTCCTCTCCTGGTATGCCCTCTCCAGGGATGCACTCTAATGGATTTCCTTCTCCGGGTATGCCATCTCCAAGTTTCTCCATATTCAGCGAGAATAATATTGTGGTTGTGCCTCCTGCACCCCCGATGTCCTCTCTATGGAAATTCACCGCCCTCATGCTATCTGGACACATGCTGGCTTCGTTCATCCCTTCAACACTGGCACGCCTGTTCGTTCTTGGTCTGGTAACTGATGCATGTCTTTTATCCTTTGCCAGCCCTCACTACGCAAGCTCTCTTGCATACCTCTCTGCCCTGTGGAGAGGACACTAAGAGATGAATCGGGATATTCTGGTTGTGGGGATATTTAGCAGACTTCTCCTTTTCAATTTTCACAGTTCTTTGGCGGCGGCGTTGGTATGGTTATATGGGATGGAACCAGGCACCATGCATGCAACCTTAAGGAAAGTTTCGATTTCAAGGAGGAATGTGTATAACTAAGAGCTTTCATATGTAATTGGCGTAATAGGTAGCTGGCCTCGAGATGGCATTAAACATGACTACTGATGAATTGACCTGTTAACCTTATCATGTTCTCTTTTTGACCCTATATTGAGACCATCTGACGCCAGATACGCTAATCGCCTAGAACTGGGAATCAAGCCAGTGCTTTGCCTGGAATGCCTTTCGTGAATCGGATCAGTGGGGCAACAAGGCTGTGCGAGCTGGACAAGGCTGTACGACAACGGCAACACCTCCCACGTGATGATAAGGCTTATCTTTTGAGTTTGCCTGCCACTTTTCGCGACTGCATCATGACTTCGCGCCTCCTGAATTGAGTTACCACTCTGGTTTAACTTCCAATCCACACCTTCCTGTACATCATGTCTTGTTGACCATAATATCACATCACCCAAATGCTGTGGTCTCCAGCTCCGTCGCAATGCGCACGTGGCTATATCAGAACTTCTCAAAAGTTCAGAATACGCCCACTGTACGCAGCACGTGCGGCAGCCATTCTACGACGACATTATGCCACTACAAATAATCAATCCTCTATTCCTGGTACCTTTGAAACTCGAAAATTAACGCTTGTGCGGGACGCGAGTGCGAGATATAATGATATTGGTGTACAACAATTGAGCGACTATGTTCATCCGCAAGTTTTCCCTGCGGGTGCCACGTTACCACGACCGGATCTGGTGGAATTGGCGAAAGACCATCTGCGCAGGCATGAATTACTGGGCAAAAACCAAGATGGTTCCTCGCCTATTGGATTCGACATCCCTTCCATACATGGCTCGTCCATGGACGAACACTTCACGAGACTAGGCATGCATGCCTCGGAGCCATACCTCTCTCAAGCGAAGACGTTCGTTTGTTCGAATACACCCACGAGACCACGCAAATGGGTCATAAGAAGCGGTTGGACAAAGTATAATCCGGACATGACAACCGAACAAGTGGACGCACCAGACGAGACGATGCTTTCTTTCGATGTGGAAACAATGTGGAAGGAAACTCCATTCGCCGTTATGGCGACAGCGGCCAGTCCCAATGCTTGGTACGCATGGATTTCTCCTTGGTTGTTAAGAGAAACAGAGAATCCTCGGCAGCTTATACCTTTGGGAGATCCAACCAAGCCTCGAATCGTCGTTGGCCACAATATCGGTTACGACAGAGCCAGGGTGAAGGAAGAGTACGATCTCAAGCAGTCAAACAATTTCTTTCTTGATACAATGTCTCTTCATGTGGCTGTGAATGGGATGTGCTCAGGGCAGCGACCCACTTGGATGAAACACAAGAAGAACCGAGACTTGCGGGACAAGATGGCAGGCGACAACACCTCCTTTGAGCTTCAAACCATGCTAGAGAACAAGATGCTCAGCGAAGAGGAAGAGGAACTATGGGTCGGAAGAAGTTCACTTAATTCCTTGCGTGACGTTGCTAAATTTCACTGCGGCGTCACTATCGACAAGACACAGAGAGACTTCTTTGGCGAACTTGATCGAGATGGAATCTGTGAGAGAATTGAAGAACTGCTAGACTACTGTGCTGCTGATGTCTCCATCACACATCGAGTTTTCCAGAGGGTCTTCCCCAATTTTCTCGAAACGTGCCCACATCCTGTCAGCTTTGCCGCGCTCCGACATCTTTCCTCCGTTATCTTGCCGGTCAATGAGACATGGGACGAATATCTGGAGAATGCGGAAAATACTTACCAACAACGTCTGAAAGATGTCGAGCAGAGGCTTGTTCAGCTGTCTGATAAGGCTCTCGAAGTTAAAACACAACCCGAGATTTACGAGAACGATCCATGGCTAAGTCAACTAGATTGGACCGGGCAAGAGATCAAGTACAAAAAGGCGAAGAAGAAGGATGAGAAACCGGTACCTGTCGCTCGACAGAAGAAACCAGGAGCTCCAAACTGGTATAAAGATTTGTTCGTTTCGAGTAATTCTCCAATAAATTTGACAGTACGAACAAGAATCGCCCCACTTCTACTGAAGTTGACCTGGGACGGTCATCCACTAGTGTGGTCCACCAAGAACGGTTGGACTTTCCGTGTATCACATAAAGAGGCTGAGAAGTACGAGAACAGCAATGCTGTCAGATGTGATTTCACTGATGAGGTAGCTGACACAAAGCTGGCCATGGACTACAAAAACGTCTACTACAAAGTTCCGCACAAGGATGGGCCTACCGCTCGTTGTTCGACGCCACTGGCGAAAGGCTATCTGCAATACTTTGAAGCTGGGATCTTATCATCGGAGTTTTCACTAGCAAGGGAAGCCTTGGAAATGAATGCATCATGCTCTTACTGGATCTCCGCTCGAGATCGTATCAAATCACAGATGGTTGTGCGAGAACACGATCGAGACCCCAGCTTGCTTGGGAAATCAGATCAAGGTTTCATTCTACCTCAGGTCATACCTATGGGTACTATAACTCGACGTGCAGTGGAAAATACCTGGCTCACCGCCTCAAATGCTAAGGCAAACAGAGTTGGCTCTGAGCTGAAAGCCATGGTCAAAGCCCCCAAAGGTTATTCCTTTGTTGGAGCAGATGTTGATAGTGAAGAATTGTGGATTGCTTCTCTGGTCGGAGATGCACAATTCCAGCTCCACGGTGGCAATGCCATTGGATTCATGACCCTGGAGGGCACAAAGGCAGCAGGCACTGATTTGCACTCGAAAACTGCGAAGATCCTGGGAATCTCTCGAAATGATGCCAAGGTGTTTAACTATGGTCGTATTTATGGTGCTGGATTGAAATTCGCCGCTACTCTACTAAGACAGTTCAATCCTAGTCTCACGGAGAAGGAAACATCGGAAACTGCTTCAACATTGTACAAAGAGACCAAAGGCACGCGTACCAGACGTAAGGCTCTAGGTAGCGGCACCTTTTGGAGAGGCGGTACAGAGTCCTTCGTGTTCAACAAGCTTGAAGAATTTGCGGAACAAGAACGGCCACGAACCCCAGTCCTTGGAGCTGGTATAACGGAGGCTCTAATGAGACGTTTCATCAATCAAGGATCATTCATGACTTCACGGATCAACTGGGCAATCCAGTCTTCAGGAGTTGATTATTTGCATTTGCTCATTATTAGCATGGACTTCCTCATCAGAAGATTTAATCTCGACGCTCGTTTGGCCATCACAGTTCACGACGAGATCCGGTACCTCGTCAAAAATGAAGACCGATATAAAGCGGCACTTGCCCTGCAAGTCAGCAACCTATGGACGAGAGCTATGTTCAGTCAGCAGATGGGGATCGATGATCTTCCACAGTCATGTGCTTTCTTTTCCGCAGTTGATATCGATCATGTCTTTCGAAAGGAAGTCGACATGGACTGTATTACACCAAGCCATCCCAATAAAATCCCACATGGTGAAAGCTTGGACATTACTCAGCTTCTGGCCAAAGGAGAGGAGGCATTCCTTGACCCAGAGACCGTTCCGAAACAAGGCCCAATTGAATTGGAAAAGTTTCCCTACACTCCACGTCAGACTGTCATGTCAGCTCTTAATGCTTCAGATGATGTCACTTATATCCGAGCCCAAATCGCAGATTCCGATAAAGAACTGAAGGATATTATCAAAGATTCGGAGAAAGACTCCCTCAAATCCTCGACCACCACCAAATCTTCCACCAAAGCGAAATCTTCATCTGGAGAGAAACCCTCTAGTACCACTACTCCCTCGCGACGTGGTCGCCGCCCGAAACCCAAGGTGCCCATTCCCCCACATGCACAGCCGCAACGAGCGATGTTGATGGAAGTCGAGGACCGCTGGGACTTGGGGTACAAGCGCGCATTTGCCAACAGTACTAGCGCTCAGCATGGGCACAGCAAGCCATGGATGACGCCTAATCAGCAGTGGAACAACAAATGGGCGTCCGACGGCTGGGAGGTGTAGTCGCACTTCCAATGCCTCTACCATGGTCAGCCATATTTTCACTCTTCAACACGTCAACAACCCCAAGCATTGCGATATCCCCTAATATTTCTCTCCTATTCGATTACCCTCGAGTCTCTTCTTGTGTACTTTTGTTATTCACCACACTTCCTCTTGTATAAATCCTTGTTCTCCCACTGGATGACGACCTAAGCTCTTTAATTCAATGAAGCGGATGATGGGTTTCAAAAAAATCAATGGCCGGGGGAGTTGTGTATTATAGTTGTCTATCGGTTAATCTGTGCCAATGTCGTATTCCAATGTATGGGATCTGGTTGGAATCTGGCTGGTATTTGGTTGGGTTGAGTTAATCAGGCTGGATTTGCAAACTCGGTCACTGAGCGAATGATCATCGGCACGGGGACGCTATCGTATTTATGTGCTTGATAGTGGTTGACGTACCCAACTACCTCGCACCTATGGAGCTGAGATAAAATAAAATCACCTTTAAATCGTCATATAAGTCATGGATGTGATTTCTCGAATTCAACCAGGGTTAAATATCTTTTGGTATTCTACTCCTGTAAGAAGTCAAGCCTAATGATTTCCTGTGGTATCAACAGAGGCGCTGCTACATATGGGTTGAGGCCACAGACCCCAAGAAGTATTCTCCATGAGGAAGCGAATATCTGTTCGTGGATTTCACTGTTCCCGCCTATGCACCAAGGCTGTCATCGACTACCTATGTATCTATGTACTGGCGTATTTACTGACTGATTCCTCGACGTGCGACTTAATGATCCAAAATATGCTCAACACACACGCATTGGCACATACATCGTTGGATCAACGATCAACGCTCAACGCTTGACGCTCAACGTTGTGCGAATCATATACATTCAAGCAAGCGCAGAAGTTATATTTACCCGGAAGAGAATGTAATGTGACAGATGGAACCCCGTTTCACATGCGTTTATGGCACTTGAGGCGCCAGTTGTTTCTCCTATCTCTTGATCCCGCACTCGATATGAATCTAACAACTGGATCGGTAGGTCACCCACCAGACTCGGTGGACTATGCGAAGGCAGCCCAGCCACAATAGAGCACAGCGAGGTTACGTTCATCAGTCGCCTGGCGAATAAGTTCATTGACGGTGGCTTCGACACTAAGGCTCTTGCCTAGCTTCTTTGCCACGACGGTCAGGGCGCGATCGGCCTCACTGGGCTCAGAGATATCGCGTCTCGCGGCGCCGACGACGCCGCCTACACCGTGGCCGTCCAGAGCCATGCCGGCGCCCGCGGTCGTAGACATACTCGCCGCCATGGCGTCGGCGACCTGTTCGTTGTGTTCCTGGATCCGCTGGAGGCGCAGCGGTGAGATGGACCAAGAATATAGCGGGTCGTATCGCAGGACGTCGAGAATCGTCATGATGGCTTCTTGGTCGCGGCGCAGTGCTTCTAGCGTGAAGTTGCAGCAGCGTCGGAAGACGCCTTCTACACCTGTGAGGCCCATGCCATCGACGAGGTCGCGTGTTAGGCGGAAGGGTACGACTTCGGGAACGGGCAGGACGCGTCCCGCTTCGAACGCGACGCCTAAGTCGATGTGCACTACTTCTCCGGAGTTGTGGTCGAGGAGGATGTTGTGCCCGTGGCGATCGCCAAGCCCAAGCACGTGGCCGAGAATGCTGACTGCTGCTGTGGAGCGACTGTAGTTGAGGCGTTTGTGGAACCACTCGTCAGGGTCGAGGAAGTTCTCCATGAAGAAGAAGCGCATCACAGGGTGGAAGTTGTTCGTTACAGTCTTGTAGGCTTGCAGGCGTTGTGGCATTGGCTTTGTCTGTGCATCAGCAATCTCTCGCCTGGCTCTTGTGAATTTGAAGTCCTTAGGGAAGTATCGCTCGTGAGCAGGGCTCAAGTAGTCACCAAGTGGAATGGTGTCTTTCACGAACTCAATGATACCGGCATTAGTGGTGAGGGGGATGACTTTGTAGGTACGAATTCCTAGATTCCGTTGTCTCGTCGGCCGATGATCCTTGAGTAACTCCGATACTTGTCCGAATACCTGTTCCATTATTGCATCCTGGCGAAGGTCATCATTGCCCCCCTTCAGAAGCATTTTGTAGGCAGATCCGTCTGAAGCAATCATAGTTGCGATCTTCGGTGCTGAGACTCCTCCAGCAATGGCAATTTGTTGGTCGAACTTACTGAACGTCGCTAGGCCCGAGTAATCTCTATCTGATCTCAATGTGATATTCATCGTTGGGGGGGGTATTTTCGTGTGAGCTTCCGTCATCATCTGCTCCAATCTGACCGCAGAAGAAAGCTTTCGAAGCGGAAGCTTGGCCCCCTGTTTGGCTTCTTTCTCGGGAATTCTTTCTTGAGCGACTCTGAACAGGGCTATGCTACTATTATGAATTGCAATCCAGATTGTAGCGGAAGGACTTTTCTTTGCAACAGCCTCGGCGAGTTTGTTGGCTGCGCTGTTCCGAGACGATGCGACCTCGTCAGTTTTGGGTGCCTTGGTCTTGCTTGTCGAGAACACCTGGTACAAGCTATGGTATGGATGATCCGAACATATTCGAAACATGAGATCCATCAGAAGGATTTGAAATTTGTCCTTTCCATCGAGAAGCCTCGAGGACAGTTGATTGACCAAAGGAGCAAACTTCAGTGTTGGAACAGCACTGAGATACTTGCTTACTGATGCGTTTGCCGTTGAGCTTTCAGCCTGATTGAGCCACAAAGCAAGGAATCGAAGAGTGTCATTTCGATAATCATCACAAGCTTTCATTGAAAGCAGGTAGTTCTCTAAGCACTGGAGAATTAGACTTTCACGATTCTCTGAGACTCTTTTGAATTCTTTGTCGTCCAGGTTATACCAGACCTTGGCCTTATTGAGATGTCCCTTAAGTTGCTCACGTTGCTTTGCGTCACTTGTTTCAATCATCTTCTTCAAGTCGTTCAACTCTCTGAGTTTACGGTCCCTGATCTTGCTGATCCGAGTGAAATCGTCCAAGTTGTCCGTATCTTGTAGTTGCATGTCGCAGAATGCGGCAAAATTGTGGAACACTCGACCGGCCTCTACCCCGGAGTTCTTGCCCCGTAATTCATCAAAAGCGGGCTGTAGATAGCTCTTGATGATTTCGTCTGGCTGCTCGAGACGTGCTTCGGCTACCTTGTGACCCAAATCAGTCAAGATTTGTGCCATTGTAACCCCAAGAATGTGGTGGTTTGCATCCTTTCTGCTCACGAGGCTTTGGAGGATTCCGATTGAACCTGAAGTCTCCTCTTGGGCCCATAAGGTGGTTGCAAGGTCATATTGGATGGCGACTTCCACATTGAGACCAACTGCCAGTCCCAAGATGTTCAATTCTGAGAGGTACATGGCCCTGTTCAGACTGAACTGCGGAATACTATGGTCAGAAACCGAATGAAGTGATTGACGAACAACGTGGATTTCCTGCAAGAGTGACTGCTGAAAGGTCAAGCCGAATGCCGCCTGAAGACTGGGGTTTCGACGCAAAGCAGTAAACGTCGCCTCTCTCGCTGAGAGAACCGGTGACAACTTCTCGAACCTGTATATATTAGAACGGAGGATTTTGTGAGGGAGGGAGCCACGGATGCACTTACTCGGCAAGTTCGATTTGTTTGTCCCTTTCCACAATACGCTTCCAGATCGAGTCAAGTTCTTGTTGAGTGTGAGCAGTCAAAACCTGTTTGGCTTCTGCCAGTATTGCAAGGCGTGAAAGTAAAATGTTGTTTTCGGTCCTCCCAGTATTGGTTGAGATTAATTGGGTAATCGATGCTAGTAGTGATTGATCAATCATGGAGTCCAAAGCAGTCGTGTTCGAGGCATGGTTCATGCTTTTTAGCAACGCTCCAGCAGTATCGAAGTGTCCTGATGCCCCATCTGAAGCTATCAGATCCCACTGATTCAATGCTGCAAAAGGTTTAGACGCCCCAGTCAGTTGCGATCGCTGTTCAGCGTTGTTGTGGTAGTAGCGCTCTACAGCTTCGGAAATTCCATACATATTTGCTGACCTAAGCGCCATAGCAGTCGCATTCACAGTCTCAGAAACGTTAGCAGGTTCCTGAATCTTGAGATGAGAGTCCAGCAGAGCGCTCTGGAAAGACAATGCTTTTTGGCTGGCTCCTTCATGAGCCAGTTTTGCAAGGACAGATTGTAAGTCAGAATCTTCGTGCTTGCCATAGAAGAAATCAAGATCGTCGACGTTTTCGTAGATGAGGGTCTCAACCTCATGAGACACGCTAGACAATAATGAACCTAGGGACTTTCGAGATGATCGTCCACCTTGAAGACGGGCCTGAGAGTTGTGCAGTTCAAGGAAAAGAAGCGCCTCATGAAACATGTGACACTCAGTAGCAGCTACAACAGCTTGAGAGAAATCGATTTCAAGCCAAGTGTTCCGTTGGGCCATTGTGGTCTCATTAGCGTAGAATCTTGTTCTGAGGTATATGATAGTCCTCAGCACCAACGGTCGGGCTTCTTCAACCTCGGCGCCTGGATTCTGGAGTATGGTTGAAAAGGCCAGGGACAGACGATCCCGAGAATGTTGGCGCATATTGGATCCACCTGCAAGGATGATGTGGACTGCATAGGGGAAAAGGGTGTCCGCTACACTTGGCACTTCAGCTATCAAGGGAAGTATATGACGCAGAATAGGGTCATCCGTTGTCTCCGAGCAGAGGTCCCGAAGCTGATCAGCTGCCCAATGATTCGAAGATCTAGATTTGCCGCCAGTAGCATACTGGGCGGATGTAAAGGAATTCTCTTGGTTGGATCTTCCTATCGGTGGACATTCGAAACCTTCAAACCTCAGGTCTGTGAAAATATTTTTGTCGAAGTGTTTAGCGAGAATTTCACTTTCACGATCTTCAGCAATATTGCTGGAGATGGACTGCAAGGTTTTTTCGGAGAATGCTGCTGCCACAAGATCGGACCGCCAGAGCAAGTCGATGAGCACATCGACGATACTTGTATAGGATGACACCATGTCTTCCTTTAGCATATCTTGGCGAGTTTTGTCCTTCTCTGACTTCGAATTGATCATGTTTGTCCACCGAAAGTCCTTCTTGGGCGACTCAAGGCAGTCATTTGCCATACCATGCATAAGGTATCCACGTCCTATAGCGCTCGCAGCCCAGGTTAGAAAATCCTCATTCGTCTTGACAGTTTTGATAAAATCGTTGAGCACGGTAGAAGACCGCTGAGCAGCCAGATCATCTAAAAGGATATCATCTGCAGGATCGCTGGCTGTCTTGAAATTCTTGCACAATATCTCGAGGGATATATCAAAATGCAACTCGGTCAGTAAAGGTTCTTCTGAATTCCGATCGTCGAGAAGGGCAAGAAGAAGACAGCCCTCGCTTGTACTTCTTGCATTGCTCCCCGGGTTTTCGATGTTTTTCGCATGTTCAAGTATTCTTTTGAAAGTGACCAGAGTAGTCTGTGGGACATTCACAAAAGTCGCTCCCTCAAGAAAGCGACTCAGAAAGAGGCGAAATTCTTGAGCTTTTGATATTGTCGCCCGAAAGTGACTCTCCTGTGTTGTACTTTCCTGGGATGATGTGATGAAACCTGTGAGTGAAGCAAAAATAGAAACGCCTAAACCAGCCAGAAAAGATATTCGTGTACTGAGATGGGACTTCCCATGCTGAAGAAGATATCGAAAGATCCCCATCGTATCCTCGGCACACTCGAATACTGTAAGATACGGTCGAAGATTATGGAGGAGCATTTCCAAAGGGTAACCGCATAGTGCGATGGGACCTGCAAGGCTGATAGCAATTCGAACCTTGCGGATGATAGTGCAGGCATGCAGTGGACCAAGCGCTGGTCTAGTCTTGCTCAGGAGTGATCTGTAGACATGAACAGTTAAAGCAGGTGACCAGATGTCAGATTGCGCAACGTTGAGCCGAGAACAGATGTAATTGAGCTCCTCACCCAGGCATCTAGCTCGAAAGGACGGTTGCTGAGAAAGCGGAAGCTCCAAGTTCGTAGTTGATTGGGTGGACATTTCCTCCCATGCACTCAAGGCCAATGTATGCTGACTCTTTTCGAATGCCTTTTCTATTGCGCGATCATTTTGAAGAGACATTATCAGCTGAGCAACGATGTCGGGCATTCGTTTCTGGAGGAGTTCAAGATATGTATCAGAACCTAATTGTTTTCGCATCAGCTTTTCAGAACCATCATACAGTCGCTCTTGTTTCGGCAGGCTCGTTTCGGAGGATAAAGTATAGGCCAATGCAGTGGGGAAGGCAGTGGCAAGAAGCGATGTCCACTTGTCTCCAGCAATTTCTGCCAGTTCGTCCGCATACTTGGCACCACGAAGCGCCGTCTGTCCCACAAATTCCTGCAGGTTGTCAAGCACCATTTCTTTCAGTGTTGCATATCCAAATGCCAGGAAAGGCATTCGAGAGAAGCCATCCTTCGACAGCCAGGTGTACGATATCTGAGGAGCGAAGAGCCTGAAGAGCTCAGTAGAAGACTCCAATTGCAATTTCTTGGAGGTAAATGATATGCAGGATTGCGACAACACAGTAGCAGAAGGGACGTTCGCTGCTGTTTCAAACAAGTGATAGGTTGCCTGTCTCAAAACAGTGTGCCATCGTGCTCCCAATTGACCCAAGAGGGAGAGACGAGCAGCAATGCCCTCTTTATCGTCGGGATCGGATGGCAGATTCTCCACAATGTCGTCGAAAATAGCTTCATGTTGTGTAAGGATGAACTTCTCAAACAATTGAAAGAGCTTTTCTGGCAGACCATATTTGATCGTAGGGGGAGCAGTTTGAAGAATTTTCAGCAAACTTGTTCTCGGAGAGGGCAGATCCTCTGCTCCGTAGTTGGGATTATGCTGAAGGAGGAAATGAAGAAGTTCTGAGAATTGGGAAAGCACTCTGGGGGACGCAGGAAACTTTCCCAGTACAACATTGAGCGAATAATTGTAAACGTCATATGCGAGCTCGCCGAGAGAGTCATCGTCGTCCTCCGAAACCCAGAGGTAACCAAGGCCTTGCACGACTTTCAAACAAAAGCATAAGGCAGTCTCACATCGTTCATAAGTTTCTTCTTGCAGATAAGTCTGACCCAACAGCTGCAGGAGCCGCGCACCATCAGCTCGCGTCATGCCGTGATCGAGTGCCAGTAGCTCAGAGACGGCACCGCGAGCAGCCAGTAGTGACCCTGGCTCGAGTGCTATGATTTCATCCACGACTAGCGAGACGGCTCTTGGTACGAGACTTCCCTCGGTTTTGACGGTTTGGAGAGCCATCGCGAGTTTGATGCGGTTAGAAGCTAACTGGCTGAGTTCATCAAAATTGAGTGGTATGGCTTGCCGCAGTTGACTAGCGTTTGTGTTAACAAGGCCTCTTTGGGTCGACTGCGATGCCCACGCGTCATCATCCATGAGGTCCGACTCCGTGCCATCCTTGCTGGCAGTCGAATCCATACTGTTGCGAGCGAGCTGTAAGGCCGATTCCACAAGGGTATGGTATTCTGCATTTGCCCAGAGGGTTTTGCTCTCACAGAGTTGTGCGTGCAGGCGTAAGACGGACGAACATATCCGATTTATCAGAACACGCCCGTCACTAGTTTCACTGGAGACAAAATCGATGACAGATGACCAGAGAGTGTTCCACAGGGTCAGAGGCTTCGTACCTGATGCTGGAGCCAAACGAACAGAGAGACCCGCACATGCACTCGCAGCAATTGTGAGAATTCCAATAATATCGGTACTAATATTAGACTTTCGTTCTAACTGTAAAGTGATAAAGGCCGACTGCAACTCCTTTAAACGGCCACTTAGACATGTCAACGTCGCGTTCTGAATTCGAGCCAGTAAAGATGAGTCAAATTGGCGTAATTTATGACTTACTGCGACGTCAGGGTTAACCGTCTCATGTGGACGTATCTCCAGCAGGTATTGGAGAAATCCCTCATCGGGGCAGGTGACCATTGCAGCCCGCCAGATTACATGGGCTGGAGACCAATCATCGACTGGCTGGATTACGTCCAAAAAACCGCAGGCGGAGGTCAAAAGAGAATACAGGAGTTCTGGCCGAACGTAGAGCGAAATCGATGCATTGTGAGATCGATCGAGCACCGCCGCTTGTTAAAGGTCAGCGGTGTACATCTAATGAACAGTTGGCTCGGGTAAACTCACGAAGTGTCCATCGCGTGGAAAGCCAGTTGAGAATCTTTAGGCACAAGTGCTCGAAAGTCCCACCGATATCAAAGAATTCTGACTGCAGTGCATTTGTCATAAGCACCAAGGAGGTGTCAGTCAGAGTGGAAGGCCCATTGTTGCTTCCTCCGAAGATAGTATTGATAATCAAGGCACCATTCAACTGGGTTCGAAGATGGCCAGATTCAAGTAGGACTGCAAGAGTATGACTTGCTGCTCTTGCTGTACCAGCCACTGAGATTGCTTGGCCAGCAGAGTACCAGACCAGAAGCCAGTTTTCAGGGGAACATTTGAAACTGGGCAAATATTCAACTGCCAGCCTGGAGATATGAATTAGTCAGCGTACGTGATTGTGCGGATTTTAGTTCCTTACCTGGAGAATAGCAAATATGTCCATGATTGTATGTTGGTGTCATCGTGAGAAAGTCCTGGAAGCAATTGAGCCAGATCTTTTGGAGAGTCGAAATCATCTCGAGTGGGCTGGTCGCACAAGAAGACCAATATCTGAAGTGCAACAAGCCTGTTTTGCCCCACACCTTCCGTTGCAAGTCTCCATATATCCTCTGCTGAATCTCTGACCTTTTGGCGTTTCCGCGGGCCATCAACAGCTTCGGGCTCAGAGTCATTGTCATGTCGGAATATCTTCTTTCTTCCCAGGATAAGACAGGCAATGACAGAAAGAGAGGCCCAAGCACTGAGAGCCCGTGGCGAATTTCGGGCAGGGAGAAAGTGTTTTGAGTGTAGTGGCGCGGATTCTCCGGCAATCAATAAGTGCAGGTCATCGAAGAGTAGAATTTCTCTTTCGCTTCTTGAGCTGTACTCCGAGAGCAGAGTTTCCAGCAATGGTTCGAGGATGTTTGAGTGGACAGCAGGCCAAGTACTACTCCTGGAAACGAAGAGATATCGACACGAAAAGAGTGTAATAAGCATCTGTTCCCGAAGAAGGACTGAGCTGTGCGACCAAAAGCGCCGTATCATGGGGATGAAAGAAGCCATGAGATTTCTGGTGAAGTCAACATGTGTGGTGAGAGCATTGAAGATGAGATTGTTTAGTATCTCGAAGGCTGCTTCTTGGCCTCTTGAGCCAGCTAGAAGGTACTCTTCCATTGTCTTGACGATGACATCGGCACGGGACATGATCGGAGCATTTGTCACGGCAGTCAAGCTTTTGAGAGTGGCAATAAGCTCATCTGAATGCGCGGAAACGCCGTCCTTGGATTTAGTCCTCGCACTCCGCTGACTGAGTCGCATCGACAAGCTGTAACCATTCCGGGAGGTGTTACGGTTGTCTCGGCTCGTGATTACATCGCTAGCTTGTCCCATATCATCTATTCCAACACACAACAGCGTGAGGATAAAATCGACACACTTGTGCCATTGTTTTGGCCGCATATGCTCACAATGGGGAGCATACTCTAGGAGAGCTTTGAAACTCTTGAGATAATCATTCAGAAGAGGCTCACAATAAGAGCCATCCGAGTTTGCTAGAGTTTCAACAATATGGTCCAGCACTGAGAGTGCTGTTTTGAACCTGATTCTAGGAGCTCCAACCTCCACTGCAAGACGGAGAGCAGCGGCAGTGACCTGGAGCCGAGAGGCAGCATTGTTCCTAGTTGTCGGCTTGGTAGTAGCCCGGACGTAGACAGGTTTCTGCTTGGAAATAATCTTGTAGAGCAGCTCAAATGTTTTGTGGAACGCATCGTCTGGGATAGAGTCTCTGAAATAGTGTGAGTGGATTGCACGGGAACTTCAGACTTCCCCGCGCTTGCTTACGCTTTGGAATAGTAACTACCGGGGTCCAGAATTCGTTTGAGCTCTACTATGATTAGTGTCGAAACAGAAGAAAGGACTAGATTGATAGTTACCTGTAAGACCTTCGGCTCTTGACTGTTGGGTGTCTGCTTCGAGCTTGGCTATGGCGCACGGTTAGGGGCAAGGCTGTAGAATAGACGTGTAGAAAATGTAAATAACCCACCAATAGCTGAGATGAGAGTGACCTCCGCCATCTTGCGGACCGATCGATGAGAATTTGCAAACACTTTGAGACCACATACTTTATGGCCCTGGAGATGATGTTTGGATTAACTTGGTCAAGAACATCGACGCGTAGGTTGAAAGTTAATGCCGTGGTTTCCCAAGTGTGAAGTTCGAGTAAGGCCGACAAAAAACGCGCCGTTTTAAGATATGGCTCCTCTTGGCAGAAGCTAGCCATATTAGTGGAAGGGGAAGCTGCCTCTATTGCAGTGGTGGTTCTCTATTACCATTTGCTGCTTGTGCCATTGATGGTCTTTCATTTGGGGATTTTTCGAATGGCAGAATTGGAGACGCGCTGTTTAAATCAACCCACGAAAGAGCACGCGTCAACACTGCCTTTCCATCAAACAGTACTGTACCTGAGACCAAGATGGACAGTCTGGAACGTCTCCAAGGGCTTCATGCTGACTTGGTCGCCTTTACTGAGGGGCGGTTGGCCAACATCGACCGACTAGTCCAGGAACTGCAGGGCACTGTGTCCGATTTCAAGAAATTGCTGGACAAACCGACTCCTTCAGCCGCTGATCGCGAGAAATATAACAGCGGTTTGTGAACTATACCCTGTCACGAGATCCCTACTGATTGTATTCCAGGGAAAATCGAAATCGACGACCAGGAATTTGGCATCAATGATGAATTCAAGCACATCAGTCGAGCCGTCGGTACCACTTTAGACCTGGACGAGATTGAAGCCGGGCGACTCCTCATTCAGAATCACGGCGATTCCATTTCCAATAGCCAGTCCTTCGTCTCCCTTTCCGTGAGCGCATTCCACAATCGACGAGATCTTCTTCTGCAGTCCTTGCGCATCACATTCGAACAATCCCTCCTGGAAGAGCTGGACGATAATTACAAAGATGCATTAGTGGACATCATAGCCCAGGTGCTCGATATCCAGTCGGGTGTCCAAGGCAACGGGTCCTTGTTCACGAGAAAATGCATCGATACTTTGGCAGACATTGAGAAATTCCAAGCCAGGATCGCAGATGCCCTTCAAAGCAAGGCTATTCTGGGCGAACCTCGTGGATCGGAATTCTATCTGACGTTCGAATTCCAAAGAGACAGTCTCTTCAAGCAGCATGAAGCACTGGCATCCATTCTTGCATTTCTCTTTCGAGGAAATTACACCAACGCAGAAGATTTGCGAAAGCTACACAACGTGGTCAAAACCTGGTCCCGCCTAGATTTTAACCTCATTCACTACCTTCCTGCTCTATCCTCAGCTTTCCGACTATATGGAGCGGCAGAAAGCGGCCAAATCCAAGCTGATCAGGCAGACTCCCTGAATAATGTTCTGGGGACGATGCCCAAAGACTCCATATCAGTCGCAAATCGCCCTTTCAATGCGGTCCTTGTGCTATTGTGGACTGTTGAATACAGTGGCCGCTTTCGGGATACGGGGGACGACCAGGACGGACAGAAGAGAATTGATGTCGTGAAACATGCTCTACAAGATGATGCTTTGGGGTTCCTGCTACTCATTTGTACTAGCACCAATGCCGATGTATGGAGACATCCTGCGAGACAGGAATTGGTCGCTTTGCTTCTTAGTGAGACCGCGGCCCCTCCTTTGGACGGCGACCAGACTTCTGCCTACTTCCAGACACTGTTGATGGAATCCCTCGAAAACTTTGTTGAGGCTTTCATCACTAATATGCCAGACTCGATTCGTCGACTGAAAACGGAGGAGGACGACCAACGATTGAATCAGTTGATCGCCATACAGGAAGGCTTGCCACTCAATCACCGCGATGGAAATGTTAGCAAGCTCCATCTTGAATCATTTCTAGTTCTCATTTCTTATGCTTTTGAGCAGCGACCCGAAGCTTCCCTACAGTGGTGGGAGGACCCTGACAATAATCTCTACGGGTTTCTCCAATGGGCATCATCAAGGCAGACAGTACCAAGGGTCAGCGCGTTTTGTGAACTTCTGTGCTCGATCTCAGAGGATCAGGAATGTGCCGATGCGACGCACAAGTTCCTGTTAGATGAATCACTGCCTACCCCCGCTCGTGGTCGGAGAAATCCTTCGATGAACTACAATCAGATGTTTGAGGTGTTAGAACTTTACGCTAACAAGGTGCATGAACGAGTCGCAACATCTCAATTGCCTAATGCCAGGAAGATTATACCAACAGACATGAATGAGTTGGAAAGTCCAGTCATGCTTTCATGTTATCTCCGCCTTCTAGCCCATCTGTGTAAGCAGCCAAGTGCGACCCGCAGCTTCATCCTGGAATCAAGACCAAGCTTCCCACAATCTCTGCTTATCTTGAGCTCTGGGCCTGTACCGAGTTATCTAAAAGCCAGCATATTCGCTACATTAGATGCTTTACTCACGAGCAAGACCTTGCAGACGTCAACCGAGATGTGGCAAACATTGGACATATGGGCATCAGTTGGCCATGAGGCTCTCAGAGCTCCAGCAACACAACCAACTCAGCCTTTGAAAGCCACAACTTCGAGGTTACTAAGCACGCTCAGTTCGATTGGACATTCATTTGATCAATATGATGGTTTGGTGGTATTTCTACGAGATCTAATCACACCCAATCCTCCTACAGGATCCAGCGCAGATTTACTGCCATTTCCAAGTGATCTGGGATCATCATATCGAGCTATTGGTATAGGACCTTACGTTGATTTTGTATGTGGTCAAGTCTTCGTCAAGCGGATACCCGAACTCGTGGACGAAACACAGCGTCTTATTGGAACCTTCCACTGCCTAGAATTCATAGCCGTTGGCATAGAGGGCTTCAACGAGGATTATGTGGCTATGCTGGACCGTTCTGGCGCCAACAAGCAGACGTCGTCCGAAACACCTCCCACTGCTGTCTATGCTCAACACAGCCCGTTCGCCAGGCTTATGCAGTGGGTCTTGAGTACCGACATGAACAAGTTGATCATGGAGTTCATGTTAGTGGATCCCGAAATCGTGGAGTCGACTTCTCCAGATTCTCCCTTGCAATTAGGTCTTCAGCGTGCTATTGATATCGTCAATAGAGTGCTTGATTTGCAACCAACATATTTTGACATCGTCAAACCACTTATTCAATCACAGCTTGCGCAAGAACGCACAATCCGATCGAGCGTTGCATGTATTGAGGATGCTATCGTGGCACACCCAAAAGTCGTTCTCAAGCTATGCCAATTTGCTGCAACAAACAACTCAGAATTGTCACTTCGATCTCTGGCACTTCTTCAAAAGCTTTCCAGTTCTGCCAAACTCAATAACCATTTCCTCGCCACAGAAATTGTACGAGGCCGATCGACAAGACTTCTGGATGCTCTTGGTCCCAATGCTGGCTTTGAGTTGCAGCCAGTGTCGGTAAATTTATCTTCGAGACTAGCAGTGGACATGCGCGAACTTGAAGAAGGATTTCAATCTATAGGCTACTTGACTAAAGACGGCGTCCTCACATTCTTCAATGCGTGCCTTGAAACGCAACCTGATCTCCCAAACATTGCCCATCTCCTTCTCGGCTTCGACCGTATCGGAGAACGGCTGGCACTCTCTGATTCGCTTGATGAGGGTACATCAGTGTTCAACACCGTTACCGAGTTGGTTCAGGGCTATCCAGGTGGTGATGCTGGCGATTTCATATCATGGCTTCTTCATATACGGACTGTGGCGCTACACGTTTTGAGACATTTGTGGACTTCTCGTTTGTCCAGTGAAATCGTTCTTGGTCAGTTACGCCGGATCCAGTTCCTGCAGGTGCAATATATTCAGCAATCGATCATTTCCCAATATACCACATGGGATGGTATTTCCATACTGCACCCAACATTTTGGTATACCGCATCTGCCGAAGGCCTTGCTGATTTCTTCGCTTATCGCGCTTCACTCTATCACTATTCGACCACAGAACTGCGATCTGCGGCTGCTGGCCACCTGAGCAATACCCTACGCCTAGCACTATCGACTCTCGAAGGCAAAACCAATGACACAGATGGGTCCCTCATCATGCATGCAGACATCTATGCTTTATTTGATTTTCTGGACCTGGACCTGTCGACGACGTGTAAACCGGTTGTCGAATTTTACAGTCAAGCAGAATTCAGTGATTTTATGACGGACACAGACGAGGGGCCAACCGGACTTTACAATCTCAAATTGGTTCGGGAATGGCTAAATGCCACCAAATCGAATCACATGCAAAGCATCTACGAATCTGCAGAAAGACGGCAGCAGATTGAGGAAGATATTTCAGCAGAGGCCGCAAACATTCTCTCCACTTTGGAAGCCGAAAATCGTGCTACCTTTGCTCGAAAGATGCGAGCAGAAACTCTCCATGAGTATGTCGAGATGGTCATTGCAGTCATAGAAAGTTGCCCCATGGACTCGGCAGCGACCTCTCAGTTCATTCTCCGCATGCTGCAAATTATGCTGCCAAAGCTTGATGCATACATAGCAGACGAATCCCCTGATGTCTCGGAGCTTGCTCGAGCAGCCGATGCTTTACTTTTCTCACTGTCTGGGACATTACAAAGTAACAGTCAAACTGAGGATATGATCACCGAGAGATTGTTCCAATTATTCCGGGCATCAATCGAAGGCATTCCAACACCGATATCCATCTCAAATGCAGGATTGAGAACGACCTTATACAGCATATGTATTCAGTATCTGAGTCGCCTTATGTCCAGTAGCGACGCAGGCACTGATATCATCTCAAGGTCCCGCAGGAACGCCATGGATTGCATCCGATCTGCGAGCGTCCGCCTCATCCAAACCATATGTGACGATGCAGATGATGGTGTCGACGCCTGTCGAATCAATGCGTTCAACTTGCTCGGGCTACTCGCGTCACTAGCTCGAACCGAGAAGTCCCCCTTCGTACTCAACTCGCTCGTGAAGGCCAATGCGCTGGAGATCCTGATCGACCCCTTGAAATACATTGCGGCCGAATTCCAAAGCGCAGAACTGGCCAGTAAGTCTCACCATGACCTTCTCCCTAAAATCAACCACGCACTAATCTCACCACTAGCCCGGCCCCAGCTCCTCTCCGTCTTCGAAGCACGCATGCTCCTCCTCCTCCAGATATCCCGCAATCGCGAAGGTGCCGGGTCACTGCTCGACGCCGGCGTGGTCTCCGTGATCCGCGAATCAGGCCTCTTCACAGCGGATCCGGATCTCGGCATCTCCATCCCAAGCAACACGAGCACCACCACGAACACCATCGCGACCGATTCGTCATCATCCCTGACCTTCGCCGCCGCTGCCCACTCCGCACTCAGGACATACTACGCGCTGACCTCGTCCACCCTCCGCCTGCTCCTCTCGACATTCACATCGCGCGGTGCCCAAAACGAGCAGATCCAGTATCTCACCCGCGCGTTCCTGACCGAGTATCGACCACACATGGTCGGCATGTTCAAGAAATACGCTGGCGTCAACGGCAAAGTCGACGAGAAGAGTCGTCCTCTCCTGGCCGAGGCCGTTCGTTGCTATACTGGATTGGTCTCGCTTTGTGGGTTTGTTGATGTGAGTTTCTAATCCTATTTCTTTTAATCCCCAGACTGTGAGAACGATTCTTTTTGCTAACGTGTCCTCTGGGTGATAGTTTGAAGATGGCGCTAGTCTAGATCGAATGGTCCAAGGGAACTTTTCATGAATCGTAGCTTCCTGGTTGCTAGTCCAGGAGTGTCTGTCCACGTCTTCAAACAGGTGTGCGTGTTTGCATAGATGGATCGGGGGAGAATTTGTGTACAGCTAGAACTGAAGCAATAAAGAGCTCATGAAAAATGAATTAGTTCAATATTAATGACATTGGTTTCATTGGTTTCGTTGATTTCTTGGACTCATTACATTACATTCGTTGTCTCATCTGGACATGTGCCATGGCTTTCTTGCCGTATGCTGTGACTTTCGCACTCACTGTCTGCGTGACTGACTTGCTGTTCCCATTCATGTTCCCGATTTCTATCCATTACTCGTGACATTAGTGTTAATTTCATCTCGACATCAGCGTCGGTCTCTCCGTTTGGTCTGACTGGCACATTTGCACATTTGGCTCCGTACTCCTTGCTCAATATCCTTGCTGGATTCCTGTTGCAGTCACACACTCCTCAATTTGCTCTAACACTGATGCAGCTCACTTTGTCCGTCATTGTACCATAACATGTTCAGTGACTGGCAGGATGACAGCTTAGCTTAGAACTCCTTGCTGGCGACTCGCACACGGAGGCTGGCGCTGCAGATCATGCCGCGAAGCTCGTTCGACCACTTGCTGCCACTGGAGACACGACGCTTGTCGGCCATGGGTGGCGGGACGAATGGCAAGGAAGACAATCTCTTGGCGGCGCCCTTACGAGAGAACATGGTGCCTTCGATGACTCTGGCTTCACGGTTCTCGGCGGCAAGAGAGTTGTTGCTGCGCTCACGTGGGACGGCGAAAGGTGGGGTTTCGAAAAGAGGGCTCTGTGGCGTCAATGGTAGGTCGGAGACAGAGACGTTGGTAGGACCAGTGGGTTGAATGCGGTCATCATCTGTACGGCGAGGAGTGGTGGGAGGGCTGTCAGTCGTGGCGTAGTTGGTATTGTCAAGGAGGCCGCCGACTATAAGGACTTCAAGGAAATTATCTCCCTTTGCTCGGCGGACTTCGCGTGCTGCTGCTGGTGGGAGAACGTAGTTGCCCACTCTTGGGATGAATGGGTTCAAAGCGTCAATCTAGCGCCGAGATTAGTTCTGATTGAGTGACTTGGCGAGAGGTTCAGGTATGCAATTTGGAACTTACATTGCGGTGTCTCCAGCCATGTCTCCATGGACGATAGACGTCACCATCATCACCAAATCCTTCGGCAGAGGTCTCGTCTTCAAGCAATTCTTCCAGAACACTGATTGCATCGCTTGTTCCTTTTCGTCCGTATGTGTCCAAGATGCGTGCATAGACTTCTTCCATCCCAAAAGAGAAGGGTAAGCGTGGTACAACAACACGGCCGACCTCGCTAAGGAAGAACCGACAGGCTTCTTCATCGAAAGCGCCCAGTGCACGACGGTGACGTGGGTTGTTGATATCGAAGAGGTGATGTTGAGCAAGAGCAAGGGGGTCGGGCCATGTCAGGGAGGGGAGGACGGGCTTGGACAAAGCCATTCTCGCGGCTTTGAAGTCTTGGTGAGAAGCCTCTTCCACTCTTTCAATCGATTTTCAAGAAGGGCAGAGCACACAGTTCGATGTTGATTCAAGGAATACAAACAAAGCACGACAGTCGATGGGGGTATCATGGGTTCATGGGAGATCTGATTCCTCCGACAAGGACTAACAAGAATTCATGGGACATGAATTTGTTTGTGTAAAACTTGACAGGCAATTGAGAAGAGTGTTTGTGTGCTCACTTGTAGAGCCATGGTCGCTGCCGACGAAACAATTGATGCCAAGCGCTCGTCGGAATGTTTGTCCGGTCCGAGAAGCTCATTGTCGATGAAGCTCTCCAGCCGCATGGGAGCCACGGCAAGACTCAGGTGCACCAAGGGCAGCAGACGTTGATATAGGTCAAAGAATGGCGCTACATCGGATTGGACTATTCTCCATGGGTTCCTGCTTCCACAATTCATATGAAGACTTTTCCACAAAGATTGCTTTGTATCCCAAACCATGCTGGAGGCTTGCAGAGTTCATCGCATCTCAGAACTGCTTGAGATGGGGTAGATGATGGAGCAGCAACTAGGTACATCGACATCTATAATGAAAGCCATACTGGATCACTGCAATCGCAGTTTTCGTCCATGATGATATTCCAACCGTCGATATGCCACCCTTGCTTCGAAGGGATGCCTGGGAAAAAGAAGCAAGAGCGACGTCGAGCTTCCTCAAGTTTGAGCCCGGAAGTGGGTCATCGGCACGTGACCATGGCTGAGGCACAGATCACGTGCCGAAATCAACATTGCCGACATCGTCAGCCGGTATGCGGGGGACCGACCGTGTCTGCCATCTCGATGTCTTTGCTTCATCAATTATCCAATAGGTTGATGACGGGGGTAAGCCGAACACCATCAGTGAATAGCTTCCCCATATTTGTGGTCTTCTACCAATCCAATCCGTGTGACCGAGAGCTTTCAGTCTTTCACTAGTACAGCTAGGTCGGGAAAACACCCTTCCCATCCCAAGTCGCCCCAGTCCTGGTCACTGGGCACTTTGCGCGGCAGTGCTTTTCGGTCAGTGGTTCGGAGACGGTTGCTTCACACGCCCTGTCCCGTTGGTGCCATATCTGTTGCATCTGAACTGCCATGATCTAATCCGAAGGTAAGATCCTTTCTTGGGTTCCCTCACTATAAATCTCCGGATCCCCTTCCAAAATCTGGGGTTTAGGCCATTGTCAAACCGGAATTCTTTCTTTTTCTCAACCTTTCAAGTTTGGTGTCTCCATCTGGATCCTGATCTCGCGTTGTATCACAACATCGCGTTTGTAACCCTTGTCGTCTCCCCGTATTTCATATCTGTTATCGGTCCATCTCAAAGATGTCTTCCGAAATTCCTCTGTACGATATTGTCATCATCGGTGCTGGCCCTGTAGGGCTACTGCTCTCAGTTTGCCTGTCAAGATGGGGTTATAAGGTCAAGCATATCGATAACCGACCGGTACCAACTGCTACCGGAAGAGCAGATGGTATTCAACCCAGGTCAATCGAAATTCTAAAGAACTTGGGACTGAAATCCAAGATTTTCGCTCATCATCCCGCCAGAGTGCACGAAGTAGCCTTCTGGGATCCTGCTCCTGAAGGCAAGATCCGACGAACTGGCACCTGGGCAAGTTGCCCCGAGTTTCTCGATGGCCGTTACCCGTTCACAGCACTTCTCCATCAAGGATTGATCGAAAGAGTTCTGATTGAGGATATCGAGAAGAACGGAACGATAGTGCAACGACCTTGGACGATCACCGGTTTTGCCACCAACCATGCAAATCCAGACTATCCGGTCGAAGTCGAACTCAAGAACATTGATAGCAATGTTTCAGAGATTGTCCGCGCGAAATATCTTTATAGCGGAGAGGGCGCACGATCCTTTGTGCGAGAGCAATTGGGTGTTCAGATTCGACACCTGGATCCCATCTCCTATGTTTGGGGTGTCATGGATGGTGTGGTCCGCACCAACTTCCCTGACATCAAGATGAAATGTACCATTCACTCCGACCATGGTAGCATCATGGTTATTCCCCGAGAGAACAACATGGTCAGACTTTACATCCAGATCGCGAGCTCCACAGATCCCGATTTCAATCCCAGAAAAACCGCAACTGTAGCTGAAGTGCAAGCAGCTGCCAAGAAGATTCTCGCACCTTACTATCTCACCTGGGATCGAGTCGAGTGGTATTCGGTCTACCCCATCGGCCAAGGACTTGCGGACAAGTACACATTGGACCATCGTGTCTTTATGGGTGGTGATGTATGCCACACACATTCTCCAAAGGCAGGTCAGGGAATGAACACTGCCTTCCACGATGCCATCAATTTCGCATGGAAGATGCACCTTGTCGAATCAGGCTTCTCCAATCGGGATACACTTGAGACGTACGAAGTAGAGCGCCGGTTTACCGCCGAAACACTACTCAACTTCGACAACAAATATGCCGCCCTCTTCTCACAACGGCAACCAACAGCAGCTGAAGTTTCCGGTGCTGCGGTAGAACAAAAAACAGATGAAGCCGAGAAGAATCCTTTCATCGAGATGTTCAAGGCTAACTGCGAATTCACATCGGGCTTCGGTGTTGCCTACAACGGCAACGTCTTCAACCACACCAGCGAGCACGCCTTCCAGAATCCATTGCTGATAACAGATTCGCCAAAACTCCGGGCTGGTCGCATCTTACCACCAGCAGACGTCACACGTGTTGTTGATGCCAATGTTGTGCATCTAGAAAACGAAATCCCATTCAATGGCGCATTCCGTTTATTCATCTATGGTGGTCTCGGCGCATCGCCGAAGAAGGGCCAGCACAAGGCGCTTTCCGACCTTTCTGCTGGTCTCTTGGCACCCGGTTCATTCTACTCACGCTTCCGCTATACCAACCGGACAAGAGATATCCACCACGACAGTGACAACCCACATTCTCGGTTCTTCTCCGTTGCACTGACCCTTGCTGCGAAGAGACCGGAGATCGAGATCTCTGAGCTTCCCGAGCTGTTCCACGACTACAGCGCTCGTGTCTATGCCGATGATCGACGGGATATCAAGGTTCTTGATGCAAAGGCTTCAGCACATGCTAAGGTTGGTCTGACGGGTAATGAGGGTGCTGTTGTTGTGGTACGACCAGATGGCCACGTCGGCATTTCCGTTCGGTTGGTCGAGGGCAAAGGCACCGTCGAGGCACTTGAAGGATACTTCAAGACCTTCACCACTCAAGGGTCACGGACACCAAGTGACAGTGGGCTCGGTGGTGGTGTCGATCAAGTTCGTGCACAACTGTGATATTGATCTTGCTTTTTAATTGCACAGTGGATTGTTTGAGCGAATATTTCAAAATGGGTTGTGACAAGATGCCTGGCGCAAACAGAGTGATTGCATTGATTGGAAACAATTGGTTAGGGTACAAAGGTCTATTCAAATCGCGGATTTTATGCGATACTATTTAGTCCGGAGAGTTGAAACAAATCGTATTCATTCTCATGTTGTTTTGACGATAGACCCTTGCACCCTCTCTTGCGTATTCATGATATCTCTCAAGCCCTGACACGAAGCAAGTCATGCCTGTCACCTAGACCACTAGAGCATGTCAAACAAGCACATGCCAGCTTTGCCAGGGCCTCACTACTCGCACAATGCACCCTATGAGGACTAGATAGTTCCAACAGAATAGTCATTAGGGTATCATTCTCACTCTATGTCACTCTGCAGTTGGTGGGGATGAGCTGTTGGCTGATATGCCTCCCCTCAACAAGTGGCTGTGCACATTCCTGGTGGCTGTTTTGTTTTGTCTGCCTCGCCTCAGCCACAATCCATTTCAAACGTTTGACCACTCGTTCTCATTCAAACTTGACGCTAAACCTTAGGCGAGCTGAGAGTCGAAAGAGGGATGCCTGAAGTCTGATCAACCTCAAGCGTCTGACCTCTCCATGATCATTGATCACGTTTCCGACGGGCTCTCAACTACACAAGTCATTTAAAGATTGAGATATTTCACCAACGAACCTTGTGATTCTTCCTCTCTTTTTTGATCAGCCTTTCATCACACACGAAGACCTTTTCATTGAAGTACCTACTTGGTAACCAAGCACTAAGGCGGGGCACCCTTAAATTGGTGCTTATTTGTCGTTTATTCCTCCCCCTTGAAGTTCTTGAGCCCCGCATTGTCATTTCCAATTCCATTCCTGAACAACACCCTACACATCAAGATGTCGGCCCAAGACTACTGGAACAACGGGGGCCAAGGAGGCCAGCAACAGCACCAGAACCAGGGTCAGAATCCATACGGATACAGCAGCACCGGAGACAACAACCAAGGCTACGGCGGTGGCTACAACAACAACAACAACCAACAGCAGCAATGGCAACAATCAGGCCCACCGAGCCACGGATACAACAACGAACCTCCGGCCTATGGATACAACCAGGGCGGCCACAACCAAGGCTATGATCAGAACAGACCATACGACAACAATAACAACCAGCAATACCACCAGCAACAACAAAACTGGCAGGACCAATCCCAGAGCCAAGGAGGGTACAACAACAACCAGTACAACCAGTCCCAAGGCGGCTATGGCGGCGGCTACAACGACCCGAACCAATCCCAGCGCGCACACTCGCCCAACCCAGGCGCTCAACATCAAGGTGGCGGCGGCCAGTACGGCGGCGGCAGCGGCAACCAATACCACGACCCCAACATCCAAGGCGGCTACCCAGGCGCCCCAGGCATGGGACACGACCCGAACTCACAAGACCGGGGCCTGATGGGGGCGCTCGCCGGCGGCGCCATGGGCGCGTTCGCGGGACACCAAGTCAACCACGGGTTCCTGGGGGCGGTAGGCGGGGCGATCACGGGATCGGTGGCGGAAGACGCGCTCAAGAAACACAGCAAGGACAAGAAGAGCAAGAAGGACAAGACGCACGGGTCAGGGTCAGCTTCCGGATACGCCAAGCCGTCGAAGAAACACGGCGGGGGATCCCGGCGCGGCTCGTCGTCGAGCTCGAGTTCTTCGTCCTCCAGCGACTCGGACGGCGGCAAGAAGAAATACAAGAACAAGCATCACCATCACCATTAGCAATCACAGACGCGTGATGACGGCGGCGGACAGGGCTTACGAGGCAACTTCTCCTCGTCCGCGCACAGCATCACGCTGGACCGCGACTACGACCTGATCGCCAGCTGCGCCGACGTGCACGGCCAGCACAAGCTGAGCTCGCTGTCGCTGAACGCGTGCCTGGCCAACCAGCACGGCCAGTTCGCCTGGTCCAAGGGAGGGAATTTCGGCGCCAGTGCGCGCAATGTGCGTCTGTTGGAGGATGGGAAGGTCCTACAGGCTGAGTTGGGGCTTGGTGGGGGAAATTGGAATACCGCGCAGGTGAGGCTCGATGAGCGCGTCAGTAATAATGATGGCGAGTTGGTGTTTTTGGATTGATGGGGGCTGGTGAGCTGAGGGTGAGAGTCGGCTGGTGGTGGTGATGACTACTAGGGGTTGCGCTCTGCGAAGGGGATCTTGGGGAGATGCTTGAAGTTGCTTGAAGTCGCTCGCTCTCGCTGGAAAGGCTTGAAGCTTGATGGAACCACTTCCTTCCTAATTGTGCACGAGGCCATGATCTAGTTGAGCAATACATCTGTGTTCAGATTTCCTCACTCGTCCTCGATGAAAAGAATGCACTACGTAAAAGCCCAAAGGTTACGTGCGTGACAAGCATGATCAATGTTGAAAGTTCGTAATAGTATTGCTCACCGAAAGAAATAGATCATCGGTCTCCCAGACCTCTCATCGTGGTCCAGACATAGATACCACAGAATGCACGGCCAAACCTTCAACTCGCCACCCTCAGCCTTTCAATCCTCCCAATGAATGGCTGAACTATCTAACATAACATGCACAGCTCTAATCCTCACCTTTCAACTGACTCTCTATACCCACGACATCCTCAGCCTCACTAACCTCCAAGACACGATTAACCTCGGCGGTACCACGGAACAGCTCGACCGCACCAGCGTAGCTCATGCGCAGGTTAGGATTGCTGTTGACGGGGAGATAGTAGATCAGGACATATGGGACCGAGAGACGGCCGGAAGGCTAGGCATTGGTCAGAATGATGGGGACCACTGGCGAGAGGTAGAGAGGGGTATATGATGTGAGAACTTACCAATGTCAACGGATAGCTCAGGAGCACGAAGCGGGGTGATGAGTCTGGCAGGTCATCGGCCAGTTCTTGGAGGTCCGAGTATGTTTCGTCGGACGAGGGTTTGATTTCTTGGGTTTTGACGTCGATTTGATCTGCGAGGGAGAGATAGGTTGGACTTGTTAGCCTTGTTTTTCGACGTCAACTATTCATGAGCTTGAGACCAACGACGACAGAGATCGAGCCTTGTCCTCTCGGGTCGCCTTGCATTGGCGTACATGCGTTGTTTTTATCAGAAACATCTTGCATATTCAGGTTTTCGATCCGTTTCGTATGTAGAGATATCTCTTCCGAGACGAAACCCGGGGGAGGGCGGAATGTGGGGAAGAGCAGAGACAGGTCAATCGCCCGCCTCAACTTCAACCCATCAGAACATGGAATATCCTAGTGGTAACATTGGAGTTCCAAAGTCTGTCGAACACTCTGCACGCACATATGTCCCTATCGAGGATAGGCCTGCTTTGAGGGAATAGACAAAACTTACATATTTTCGCTAGAGGGGTTTTTGCCCGAGAAGTGCCCAGGCGGAACTTGCGGAGTTGCTCTTTGGTCTCTTGCGAGAAAGTGTAGAGCCTGGATTCTGACTATAGAGATATTCTGTGTCAGATTGCTGATCTTGTGGTCTGAGGTTTTGTTTTACAGGGGCTCACGGACACATGGACGATAGGGCTTTGAAAAGGGTAGTATCAGGGGAGACAGGTATCCGCGAGACGTACCATTTTTATTCCAAGGGGCGGGTTTTTGAGGACGACTGCTGGATGTATCGATGTGCCGGGCTTTCGAGTCGGTGGGAGTAATCAAAAGTGGTGTGTTGAAATCCTTTGAGGAATTTTAAGCAAAGGCCTGAGGTATCCCAGCCTGACCGACGATAAATGTGCCTTTGGTTTCAAAAGTCCAGATGCTGAAGAAATGTCTTCCGGTTAGCGGGGTTGTCTAGATATGTCGATATGGTGGTATGATCAAGATGACTATGAACCAGAAGCGAAGATATGAAACGAGGTGATTGTAAGAGGACAGTGGAATAGGACTAGTCAGTATTTTGATAATATGTATAGAGAGTCAGCCTGGCATTGATGAGCCTGAGGAGGCTGATGGTAGTGATGGTGGGGCATCGGCTAATCACTGGGATGTGGAAGATGGAAGAGGACGCTGCAGATCTATGCGACATCATCATAGTCTCAAACTGAGGTGCAGCTACGGGTGGAAGGTCACTGCTCTCAGGCTGCCTTCCCCATCTCTCCCAGGATGTTAGGTATCCTAGTTGGTGAGCAAGCCACCCGGACAGAAGCCTAGGGAGGACCACTTACCACTTGGCTTAAGCCCCGCGCACCTACAGAAGGTACCTATCCGCGGACGGGTATTCCTCCAAACCCAAGTACCGACCGCATCATCGATCTCGTCCACCCATCCATCCCTCACCTCCGGCACCGCAGCTTCAATTAACTAGATAATTAATCACCCAACGTAATCCCTCGTACCCCTCCACAACCCTTCCTCAATCCTACTCGAGATCAATGTTCTCCCGTCTCTCTCAACTAGCTCGACACTTCTCTCGACCTCTACCGAACTACGCGCATCGATCTGCCGCAGCCGCAACCGCGTCCCTCTCTTCTTCCTCCTCGATAATGACATCATCATCTCCCTCTACGGCTGCTGCGTCAAACGGCACTGGCAGCCAGCAGAGCCAAATCCACACGGCAGGATGCATAATTATTGGCGATGAGGTGTTGGGTGGAAAGGTCAGTTTCTTAATTCCTGACTATAGATCCACACGAGGAAATCAAGAGCTGTGGGAAATTCTCTCCCAGAAGAAATATAAAACTCGAAGAATATGCTACATACGCCAGGTTTTCTAACATATCTGTACCTGGTAGACCGTCGATACGAATTCGGCATACTTGGCAAAATTCTGCTTTTCGTTAGGCATGCAGTTGAAGAGAGTAGAAGTAATCGCAGACGACGAGGGCGAGATAATAGAGGCGGCACGGCGCATGTCCAAGAATTACGATTTTGTAGTCACGAGTGGTGGGATTGGTCCGACGTATGTTTTCTATGACTCCGGCCGTGTCAATAATGCAAAGAAAACAAGGGCAGAAGTGCTGACATGGAGCGCAGACACGACGATATTACCTACCAATCGATAGCGAAAGCGTTCAACCTCCCGCTCAAACTGCACGATGGCACGGTCCAGAAGATGAAGAAATACTCACGGCCGCATAAATCACAGCCCAACTTCTCATGGGACACGCCGTCTCCGGCCCTGACGGCCAAATATCGAATGGCGCAGTTACCCACGGACGATGCGATCCCGGATGAGGAGCAGGTGATTTTTGTCAAGGAGGATCTTTGGGTCCCCATCGCGGTGGTCAACCGGAACATCCATATCTTGCCAGGCGTGCCGAGGATCTTCGAGACGCTGCTGCAGGGCTTGAAGCCCAGACTATTGCCACGGTTGGCAGATCCCGAAGGGAAAGGGTCGTATCGTGTTCTGTTCAGCACGCCGTTGGCCGAGAGTGAGGTCGCGGGTTATTTGACCGAGTTGGCCGCTAAGGTCGAGCCCAGGGGGATCAAGGTTGGAAGTTATCCGCGTTGGGGCAAGAATCGGAATGTGGTGACCTTGGTTGGGAAGGATCGAGAGTATATGGATTCACTAGAAGATGAGGTGGCCAAAGGCGTCAAAGGTCTGAGGGTCTCGGTTGAGGGTGAGGATGATACTGATGATGAGACGGATGTCAAGAAGGATAAAGATGCCTGAGCCGAGCAGAAGCAATATACTTAAAAACTAGATGAGAAGTCATCCGAGTCTTGCTCACCTGTGTGTTCCACTCCGCCAACCGAGGCAGGGCATGCAGCCTCGTGCTCGTCTCCTCACCAATCCTGTGTAGAGGACGACTGGCGTGTGCAAGTTGATGTCACCTGCATGATGGCTTTCTTCCAAGCATGTTCGGATATAGAGGACTGCGCGGCGGGAACCTTGAGACCAGAATCCAAATCCCAGATCCATGGAAACTGCTTGCATTTCCTTGGCTTGACTTGACGCTTATCCAACTTCCCGTTCCCCTATTTCACTATCTCGGGTCTGGCCTCAGAAATAGTCCCGAGTCAAATGAGAACCCAAACCCACGTGCACGGCAGGGTGTGTTATTGATTTGGTGCTCGGAAAGTATCGTGGTTTGTTCGATTTGCTTTTTGCAGCAGGTCCGAGATCTCGAAAAGTCATCACTTAAACCGCGTCCAGGATCCTCTAGTGGACCGTGCGGTCAATAAAAACATGAGCATGGGATGGATCATTTTATTTATTGGGCAATCTTCCAGAATGTCACCTTGGCTACCTAGGTGGGCATTTGGCTGATCCTTCCCGGCAACCAGCCAATTCGGGAATCAAGTTAGGGTCAGCTCATCTGCTTCGTAAGTGGGAAATCCACCAGAGCGGCTCTTCTTTTGTAGATAACTCATGTTTTGGTAGTGATCGGCGTTGAAGAAAAGGAGATGTTCATGGATATGTTTTCCGAATAATTGTCCAAGTTCGATTCCACACCCTAGGTGTGAAAAGAAAAAGGACATTGGGAACAGCAATGCTCAGCAGAGTCGCCTCGAGAGATGGTCGATGCACTCGTCTTTAGTACTATCAGGCATATGTGGTCAATGTGACATTGTCTTTGCAGAGACGTTGATTCTGCATTCCAGGGACATGGATCAGATGAGGTACTGTGCATACTTCATCTGTATTCTGTCCTGGGGCAATTCCTGTAGCCTTAACTCCATACGTCCCTCAGTCAAGGACTCAAGATGTTGCATCACTGGTGGTTAGGTTATCATTGATTCATGATGGAACAAGCCACCAACCAGACAAAGGATTCAAAGAAAGAAGCGAAGCCTCCCCAACCGCCCATGGGTCATGACTACTCATTGACAAGCGCGATGCTAAAAGGTGAGGCCGCTCAAGCCAGGAGTGTGATGGAGCATTGACGGAACGAATCAAAGAGGACTCGAGAGTAGAATTGGTGCCGAGCAAGCATCAACTCTCACACCATTCACCCAAAGTTGCGCGTGTCCAGCGGTTACCGTCCACCCGGAGCTTTAGCTTATAAGCACCTTCTCGTTGGAGAACTGGTGTCAGGGGCGTCCTTGACGGCCGGCAACCTTTGGAGGCGTCGTGTGTATCTTTAGAGCGGGCCGGGGGTGATTGAGAGTTTTGCGGCTTGCATCCAATGGCTTTTCATTGGGTTTCTTGGTCTGATGGAAGACTGGATGGGGGAACTGCACGAAGACCTCCCGAATAGTGCGAAGGACGACTAGGTCGAAGAAGAAGCCGCCTAGACCATGAGGCTTCGGGCGTGACGAGGTCATTTATGCACCGCGAGGCTCGAGGCAACTGGGGTGCTCCCCACCTAAAGTACTCGGGGTCGCGGGCAAGAGCATCACCACCTAGGGACACCTGGACTTACCTGGACCTGGGTCTAGGCCTGCCAGTAGGTACTGGAAGTCAACAAGCGGCAGCCTCCGAGTCTCTTGTTCTCAATAGGAGTCGGATGGTCTGCAAGGGGCCAAAAAGAAACCATGTGTCAGTTTCCTTTCTGGTCTCTCTCTGTTTGCTGCACAGACTCGTCAAGTCCCAAGACAGACGAACTCTTGAGTCTGCTTCCAATTAGTGGCCTCCTTATCCCAAACCAAGGCTCCAATGGATCCAGTCGACCCCCCCTGTCGCATGAACCCACCCTTCTTCAAGTTTCCCCATAACCCTGTCTAACTCGGAGGAGTTGAACTGGTCACTTTTGATCGATTCTTTTCCCAAGGAGTTCGGACTCACTGCTCTGCTCGGGACTGGCACTGGTACTGCGACTGCGACTTTGACTGCAACCGCTACTGCATTTGCTAGAAACTCGAGACTAGAGTAACCGTTGCGAACCGTGGGAACTACGAACTACCTCCTCCAGACTCTCTCTTTCTGTTCTTCTATTCATTCTCCTTGCGACACCCGATTCTCTCATCACTTGTTACCACCATCCTTGCCTCGAGGGCGCATATCCCAGCCACCACACCCCAGCACATCACAGATCGAGAGCTTCCTCAGTCTCAAGTGTCTACGAGTAGATATTCCTCGGTCCATCGACTAGTCTTATACTTGCTTCACAGTCCATCCCAAGACAGCGGTTTCACCTTAGATCGCCCTCACAAATCCCCAACTCAACCTTTGTTTCTCCCCCAAACCCTGCCATCTCCCTACCTAGGTATCCTTTTTTCCTCGCTAGCCATTCTATCCGTGGACCGTCCATCACATCACTCCGTACTCCGTGCTACTAGCATCGATTATTATCCTCGCTTCGAGCGGAACACGGTCCTACTCGCCCTACTCGCCCTACTCGCCCTCCTGCCAAGCTCTCTGAACTCCTGTATCGCCGCATCTCAGCATCCTAATCTCGACCAAACCTCTCAGACCAAGGTTCCACGCCACCCACGGACTCGTGTTTGGAATCTTCGTTTTTAGCGAGATTCACACCTTCACTTGTTTCTGTTGCTCTTCCGACTTGGCCGTCATGGCTTCAAAGGTTGCTTGACCCTCTTTAATTCCCAATTCCCAAAACTCCTTCGTCGACAGCGATGGCCGGACTAACACCACCTCTGCAGTTTCTGCGCGAATACAAGCTGGTCGTAGTAGGAGGAGGAGGCGTGGGAAAGTCATGTCTGACCATCCAACTCATCCAGAGTCATTTCGTCGATGAATACGATCCTACAATTGAAGGTGCGGGCCTCTTTCAGAAACATTCCACCCTTCAAACCATCACTGACACAGCCGCTCTCTCTCAGATTCCTACCGAAAGCAATGCATGATCGATGACGAAGTTGCACTCCTCGATGTCCTGGATACCGCCGGTCAAGAAGAATACTCAGCAATGCGGGAACAATACATGCGCACGGGAGAAGGATTTCTACTGGTTTATTCCATCACCTCCCGGCAGTCCTTTGAAGAAATCATGACATTCCAACAACAAATCCTGCGAGTCAAAGATAAAGATTACTTCCCCATCATTCTAGTCGGCAATAAATGTGATCTCGAATCCGAGAGAATGGTTTCCACAGAGGAGGGTGAACAATTAGCCAAAAACTTTGGTTGCAAATTTATCGAGACCTCGGCCAAATCAAGAATACATGTCGATCAAGCCTTCTACGACCTCGTTCGAGAAATCCGGAGATACAACCGTGAAATATCGGGTTACTCAGGTGGTCCTCAAATGGGCTCCCACGCCCCCGGCCAAAAGTTTGAAATGGACAACCGAGCAGATGACGCCGGCTGTTGCAGTCGATGTGTGGTGATGTGATGAAAAGAGGTGGAAACCCAAAGGACTCAAAAAGGCCATATTTCGCATGCTACCGTGTGGGAAACCACCTGGGGAAACCGGCACAATATGAGCTGGGGCTCTTTTTCAACCGCATGGAGTTTTAAGAGAGAGTTTGTGTGTGCGTGACCTGCGCAACCTGGTGGGATGGAAAGAAGGGCTTCGGGCTGCATATTTATTGGGAAAGCCGAGAAAGGCGTGGTGCCTTAAAAAGTCATTAAGAGCCGAACTTTCTTCTATGGCTGTGTGCGCCAAAACACAACAAATTAGGGATATTGCGATTGGAATGATGGCCAGGTCTAGAAAGACAATAGCTGTCTGGCGTTTTTTGGGGTGACCGTCCATTGGTACCTACTTATTGCAAAGTCTCTTTTGCTTGCTACCCTGATCAAAATCCCCAGCTTTTACAGAAAATCATGGCGACGCGGATGCATATTTGGCTCCCAGTGCCTCCATTCTAGCCAAAAGAATGAATATATCCGTATGTGTTAATGCTATGTACTTGACCATTTTCACCTTTGTTTATTTTTGTCCCAAATCATCAAGTTGCATGATCGACAGATTGGTTGCATCCTGACGAAACACTTGGTTGATCAAACTCGGCCCTCCCCCCACGTGCTTAATCTCTGACTTATCAATCAACTTGAATGGGCCAGAATTGTCGAATCCATCTGCACGAGCTGACTGGCTGCCTGTGAACGACCATGAAATATACAGCCTTGCCCAGTCTGCCATTTGTCCCAAGGAAAAAGGCCTGAGGCAGTACCTTCCCAGGCAGCAAACCGGGTGGGTGAGAAGATGCTGGTTTCTCCTTGTAAAAGTATTCAAAATCAAGGTCGATCCTATTGACAGACTGATCAAAACTTCAGCAAGCCTGATCAGCAAGGTCTTCATCTCAGGCAGACTCAAACATGTCATCAACCGACCATCATCCCCAAGATTCTCTCGGCGCGACCAAAAAGCGAAAAGATGCATTTAGCGAACTCATGTTACCGAAACCCAAGCAGACCAAATCCACAACAAACCCATCATCACAATCAACAAAATCGAACTCATTCTCGAATTCACGCAATGCTCTTCTCACCTATATTCTAAATCCAGCAGATTTCCCGAACCAAGTCGTTACCTACAATGAAAACACTGTACTCATTCGTGATGCTTTTCCGAAAGCCACTCTCCATCTGCTTCTGCTCCCAAGGGATGCTTCAAAAAGAGACCTACATCCACGTGAAGCCTTTGACGACCCGGTCTTCCTCGCAATGATACGTGAGGAAGTCGCCGCGAGTGTGAAGTTGGCGGCCTCGGAACTGTCTCGCTTGATCGGACCATTCTCTCGGTCCAACAAGGCCAGAATCACAGCCATGGAGAGTGATAACCCTCCAGATTCCTTACCACCTGGAAGGGACTTCGTCAAAGATCTCCGTGTTGGGATTCATGCACACCCATCTATGAATCACCTACACATCCACATCATCAGTCAAGACATGCACTCGGATAGGTTGAAGCATAGGAAACATTACAATAGTTTCAATACTGACTTCTTCATTCCCCTGGATGCATATCCCCTAGTCGAGGATGATCAGCGGAGACTCACGGGCTTTCAGAATGCAAACCTTGGGAAGGATTTCAAATGCTGGCGATGTGGGAAGATGTTTGGCAACAAGTTCACAATGTTGAAGGATCACCTCAAGGAGGAATTCAAAGCTTGGAAAGAGGAATGAGAGGGCGCATGCGTTCATACATCTATTGTTCTCGACCGCGATACCGTCGTTCCCATCTATCCTCAGTATCAATAGATATCCTGCCTGGTTGCACCACCTCATATTCATATCGTGGACCTGGAGTTCGCTCTCTCGGCCGGACAGTATTACTTGCTTCAGTATCCCCCACAGCGGTACCATTTTCTCGCCGAGCTGCTCTGACGACATGTCTTCTCTCAGACACATCTCGAAACTGGCTTCTAGCATTACTGCGACGTCGAGACTGCACGCGCACACTTCCATTCTTGGATTGCACACTACGCCGGCGGACGCCATTGCCATCACTACCACCCCTCCCGTCGCTCCCTGATCCGCTGCTACCACCACCACCGCGACTTCCACTCCTTCCCCCCCCTCTCGTACTCAAGACCTTCAAACACCGCTTAACAAGCTCATCCGTCTCGAACGCATCCCTCTCAATCCTCCGTATCTGGATCCTCTGCACCTGCTGTAGCATATTCTCCACGGAGCCCTTACTCTGCCACCAGATAAACCGATGCACCAAATCAGTATTGTAATACCTTGTCTGATCTGACGACAATCCCGCCTCCGCCATGCCCATACGATTATTGATCTTCTTCTCGTCAACATTCAGCGGCGGTTTCTCCACGTCACGATCACGACCTCTTTTCGCACGAGATCTCTCATCATCATCATGATCATCAAGATCACTCTCCCCCCAAAAATCCCCGCGCTGCACCTCCTCCGCGCGCCGTGGATGACGAATCAAGAACGGACGCTCGAGGTTCTTGAACTCCATCCACAGATCACTGATGGTCAGGCTGAGCAGCTGCGCAACCTCACGTCGCTTCCGCCGTCGATGTTTCCGTCGCGATCTCGGAAACACTGAGTACGGGTCCGCCTCTTGCTGCAGGCGGTATTGCAGGAAGAGACGCTCCGCTTCGATCTCTTGCCGCAGATTGCCCAGTGCTACGGGGATGCTACTCGGTGCGGTGCGTAGCGTGGATATTAGATCGCGATAGACGCCTGTTTTTTCCCCCAAAACGTGAGTAATTAGTGGGAAGGCCGAGGGATAAGGGGTTGGGTTGGGTGGATATGCACGAGGTATGGAGGTCCGGATTGAGGGAAGCGAGCATCAATCACACTTACCAAGTAATGTCATCAGCGTGATGAAAAACGAGATGAACCCGATGACTTGAGATGCCAGTGCGACGCTCATCTTGAGGCGAAGTCCTCGCTACAAGACAAGCTCGATAGTCTACAAGCTCGTAGATTGGTAACGGGCTTCCCTTCGTTCGGTATTCGTATTCCGACTGTTATCCCTTTCCAGCCTTGTATGCCCCCCAAAAGAAGGACAGTGTGCCGGCAATTCACTCTGGCGGTCCGTATTTTCTCGTCTATTCGTACCGAGTCAGCTATCTCTTGGCCTTCCGCGTAAACCTGATAGTCAGAAATAGATAGCCCGAAGCGAATTCAATAGTCCACCTCTCAGGCGGCTCGCGTGCGTGCGTGCAAGACAGATGTAATGGAGATGGAAATGAATATTTATCCGACACACAAGCGCGATTGAATTACTCAACGAGAGCTAGCGTCTAGTTATCCCAGGCGGTCCATCGCAAGCTACTTTGTAGGTTAGATAGATAGATAGATACCTAGCTCGGAGGTCGACCGACCCATGGGACCACCTCGTGCAAAAGCCGTAGGATGTACTCCGTAGTACTGCTGTGTTGTGCTGTGTTACTTTTTAGGGGTTTGTTGTTGATGATACGGGAATCAACCCGGTCGTCATGTCGTTCATGTTGTTTCCGCCCACTTCCGGGGGGCCGGCCGCCGATCACAAGAAATCTTAACCACAGATCTGGCTCGGGGCTTCACGCCCCCATTTTGGAGAAGAGAGGGGGGGGGAGAAGGGGGATCCACAGCATGCAGGCAGGGTGCGGATATGCAAATGCACGACGTGCACGTATTCGTACGAGTAGATCCTAGATCCAGGAATGCCGGGATTCGAGAGAGATCGCGTGCGGATATGCCATCTTAAATCTTTAATTTCCACCATGTGGCTCGCTTACGGACGGTAGTTATGTATAATACATATGTACCAAACCAGGATGAGGAATGCCGTTGCCGTTGCCGTTGCCGTTGGACTAGTTGATTGGTTTTTCTGGCATCGGGTGCGATGAACATACCGAGATGTGATGTTCACGTTCATGTTCGCGGTGTCGCTATGAGTGATTGGTTTTTAACATGTCTGTCACTGGGTTTTCTGGCTCTACTCGTCATGCACCTATGCAGTCCGGCTGGTATTCATCATTTTATTGTTGATGATGAAAGTTGGAAGAGGACAAGTGGTTCTACGAGTATATGGTAGTGGGACGTCCGTCCCGGCATTGAGACTACAGCACCCTACCTACCATGTGAATGCTAAAGCACCAGAGGTGCATGCTGTGCTTTGTGACGTTCGTTCTCCTTCGAGAGCGTTGGGTGACACCAGACTTTGTCAGAGAGGAGACGTGACCCGTTGAAGATTGTGACATAGGTTTATCTGTCAAAGCGCCCTGAGATGTTCGGTGCAGTTATATCATCGTCAGGGTCGCCCATTTGGATGACATAGAGGCTTTTGCCAGAGCGAGAATTGTCACCAAGAGTCCTTCCTGCTGGGAATGACTCAGTCCTGCTCGACTCATCATTCGCCTTTCCTGTGGGACAAATAGTATCGTTACCTGTCATATGCAATTAGCTGACCATAAAGACCAACGGTGACTCGAGGCAGGCTATAAAAACCTCCCAAGATGGCTTTGCTGAAGTTACCAGTCGGTAACATCAATCACCTCTGTGCTCGCCCATTTTCCAGGAGAAAAGCACGAGTCCGAATTCGATGGATCTCTTGCACACCATTCAACATCTTTCTCTGGAACTTACGGTTAACATGCCTATTCACTCACCTATTTTGCAGCCCGAGCAGTCTCCGGTCAAGCCATGGTGCAGCGGTGTATGCACGAAATGCGGTTCGCCAGCACACAGTACCGAGCAATGCGGGTGCAAAGTGCTGTGATGTTTGTTCACTGGAGGCCTGAAAGCGAGGTTGATTGGTGGCTCTTGTACCAAGATCCTGACCCCAAAAGTCGCAGGATACCGACTCGTAGCTAGGTATTTACTTTAGGCAGTTGTCCGTAAAGTGAGGACCGTGATCATCTGCAACAGCAGCGCATGATATGCTGCGAATGGCGACATGGAGTCTCACGATGGTGCTGCTACTTTGAATCAGTATCTTTAGCAAAGAATCATAGATTCGAAAACGACTCTGAACTTGAATGAAAGAACCTACATGCCGCTAATGCATTGTTGCCTGGACGTGTCCACTACGCGTGTGCCCGGGCGATTGCTTATTGGCCCTCGACGCCGCGGTCTCCGCGTCGCTGACGTGCGACGCATATTTATTTGTTGATTTATCGTGCTCAATGCAATGAATTTATCAGAAAATAGACTAACGAGGCTGTCGTAGGATATGATTGCGCCCTTTGCTCTGTATTCCGACAACGGAAGGTGCTTGTCGGATCATGTTACAATGATCGATGTTCCCAAGTATCGGAGGTGAGCGCAAACTGGTGCACATAAATATTGCTGTAGAAGACAGGTCTCTCATCAGGGTCGCTACTTTTCTCTCCAGCAGTGACTTTTCTAGAGTCCGAAGACTTCAACAATCATGGCTCTCACTCCAGGCGTAATGCTTGTCACAGCAGACACGCCATCCGTCTCAACCATACTCGATGGTATCGTCCAACTCCATTGCGCATGTATTCTCAACGACAACACCATGGCAACGTTCATGCCGCCACTAAATCACCCCCAAATCTACAAATGGTGGGAAGACCGGATAGCAGAAGTCACCTCAGGACACCGGCATATCATCGTCTACCTCACTGAAGTCAACGACCGAACGACCCTGACCAATGCCAAGGGACAGGATATCAGAATCCCTTTCTCGGAGGAAGGCAAGCCTTGGCCCATCATTCCTGCAGCAGAAGAAGCCAGCCCATCAGGCGACGGCGACCTAGAAATCGGTGGCCTCGTCTCGCTCGTCACACCGACCACCCAGACCGGTCCTTTCCGTGGACTTGTCGAGAAACTCTTTACATCTCCATTCCATCGCCAGAAAGGAATAGCGAGGATTGTGATGAAGAGGTTGGAGGAAGTTGCTTGGGACCTTGGCAGGTGGAGTATTCTTCTCGACACCACGGCTGGCACTCCTGCCGAACAGGTCTATCCTAGGCTGGGGTACAAGCAAGTCTGGTATATTCCGCAACGAGGCTTTTCGCCCGAAGACAGGAGTCTTCTGCTGGACGAGGTGGGTTTCTTCAAGGATTTACGCCATGATAAGAGGTTGTGAGTGCTGAAGCGAAGCAATCGATGTCACCCAGCTTCATCCATGGTGTAGCTAGCTCACTTGATGTATGAATGTGGGCGTTCGACGGGATTCATCAGGTTGGGGTTCGGTTCAGGGTCCCACAACACTCAACGGCGATCTCTAACCTCTCTTAAACCCATTTAGATACTGACTCATGAGCGCCTATTGCTTGTACGACACCCAGTTATCCGATTCCGGGCCGTGGCGATACTTTTCGGACGCCTGTACAGTGTTAAGCAAGGCAGCTAGCCGATGGTGTTTCAAGCATCAGTCTTAACTTGACAAATGGTATTGCGCAGTGGTTTGGGCTTTCTTTCGGCAGCTGGGTAACACCCCGTTCGCAATCGTTGCATGGCTTTTGTGGTGAAACTTCTTCGTAAGGGTTTACTGTGAGAGAGCGGACAACTGGAGTACGGCTGTGATCATATATTAAGAACGGGATATGCAGGATATGGTATGAAGATTATATGTTTCTGTCAACGCTAGAATCTCGCCGACCAGAGTATCATCAGCTTGGAATACGCAAATCGATCTCAGGCATCTATTCATGAGGACTCTCTTGCTATTTCTCTGCATGATCAAACAAGGAAGTACAATCATATTTAGCCTCCATTGGTAGTCTCTGGCTCAGGCTGACGTTGCGCAATCCTGTCCAAGCCGTGAATTATTCTCGTCATCTCATCTTCCTCCAAGTCAGGGTGAATACAACAGATCCTCAATGTTAGAACGCCGTTTAGTCTGGTCGTCAATGGGGCCGCCAGATTCTCCTCGATGGCAGCCCGAGAGATCTTTTGGTTCAACGCATCCAAACTAGCTAGTCCAGGCTTATCAGGTCTATATCTGAAGCAAAGAATCCCGAGTTGTGCAGGAGACAGTACCTCCCAATCGGAAAGACCTTGCAAAGTCCGCTCAGCCAGTTTGGCCATCTCAACCCCATGCTCAATCTGGCTTTCAATCTTATCAAGCCCTTCAAATTGCAGAGAAAACCACAACTTCATCGCTCGAGCCGGCCTTGTCAGTTCAATGCCGTAGTTCCAGAAGTTTGGAAGTGTCTCTTCGGTCTCCATCGCATCTTGCACGTATTCGGCACTCATGCTGAAACTACTGGTCAACATCTTGCGCTCGCGAACGAGTACCATGCCACACCCGTACGTTTGGAACAACCACTTATGAGCGTCCCACGACAGACTATCGCATCGCTCAATGCCACAGAAAAGTGGGCGTTGTGATCGGGATAGGAGTGCAGACGCTCCGTACGCTCCGTCCACGTGGAACCATAAACCTTCCTTGACAGAGAGGTCGGCAAGCTCCTGCAGCGGATCTATAGTCCCTGTATTAGTGGTACCAGCGCTGCCAACAAGCAAGAAGGGTATCTTTTCGCTACTTCGATCAACCGTTATCGCATCTTTTAGATCGCTGACGCTGATACGGAAGTCCGAATCGCAGGCAATCATCCGTATCTGGTCCTCATGGAAGCCCAAGACTTTCAATCCCTTCACGACACTGGAATGCGTCTGCGTAGATAGATAGACGACGGCACGAGGTCGATCCTCGAACTTCAACTTCTGGTCTCGAGCCACAGTTAGTGCCGTCAGGTTTGCCATGGAGCCCCCGCTCACAAAACATCCGCCTGCGGTAGTGGGGAACCCCACGATTTCGCATGCCATCCAGTTGAGCAGTTCCATCTCCACAGCACTGGGGCCAGAGGATTGCATCCAGCTCCCAGCATGAGTGTTATAGGCCGAGTTCAGAATCTCACCCAGCCAAGATGCATGGTTTGCCGGGGACGGGATGAACCCGAAAAAGCGTGGGTGGTCCATTCTCACGCGGTGTCTGAAAATAACATCGGCAGCGTCTAACAATGTATCAAGAGAAAGTGGTGAGCGGCCAGGTCTTGAAAGGCTCTGCCGTATTCGCGTGGTCACATCTGGCGCTAAGATGTTGACGATCGGTTTCGACGAAATGGTTTCGCGCTCCGAGAGACATTGATCGAGGACGCGGAGAGCCACGTCGCGTTGACTGAGTGGTTCAGACCCTGCGACTCCATTGATGGTATCACATGTATCAGCCATTGAGGCGAATGAATAGGAGAGCCCGAAGCTAAAGCCAAAAGTCCTTGCTGCGCAGGTTACAAGTCTACAATTCAGGGAGTAGCAACAATCTGGGGATATTGCACTCGAAGTTCTAAGAGGAGCCCATCGTGTTCGCCAGTAGTTACATTGCCGGAAGGTTGCACTGCCTAGGTAGCTAAAGCCGTCAGGCTGAGGTCATGAAGGAGAAATCCGTGCGTAGAATTCAATTTCTCCGACTTCCAAGGTGAATTTGGGTGACAAACTTGCACTCAGCGGGTGGAAGGAAGGTGAGCGGCCGCAGCCGCTTGGTTTCCTTCTATTGCACCGTCAAACGTAAACCACGAGACCAGACTTGCACGCAACGCTAATGGGATATTCAGAATCTGTTGCAAGGCGTGAATCACTTCCAGCAGTGTGCCAAGTCAAGCACAGGGCGGCAGCATATCCAAGCCAGGATTGATAAAAGATACGTGCCGCTTTAGAATAATTCTCCTGGGGCTTTGTTAACGTCGGCTTCAACTTTTTGGAGCTCGACTTTCGTGCACCTGTTCCATCAAAGACAACCAACGAGGGGATATTGTCTCTCATCAATATCGACCTCGCGCAAAATGCAGCTCATACCCTCAAGAGTTGCGCTTCACGCGCTACGGAACCTCACCCGCCCCTGCACCACCTCCTCAAGAACATTAAGCACAAGCAGCAGGGTAACCTCAACCCTGAAATTCCGAACCACAGCCTCTATATACCGCAAACCCAACATCCTCTTCCTCCCAGCATCCCAACGGTCATTCACGACCTCTCCCATTCTCAGCACAACACTGAACCAGGTCCGCTGCCACGGCCGCAAACCCAAGAAAGCGCGTCGACAAGATTCGCCGGCGCTGCGCAACCGTCCGGAAATGAAAGGCGTGTGCTTGAAAGTCGGTATCACGAAGCCCAAGAAACCCAACTCCGGGCAGCGGAAAACCGCAAAGGTTAGATTGACTTCGGGCAAGATCGTCAGTGCTTATATCCCTGGCGAGGGCCATAATGTCCAGCAGCATAGTGTTGTCCTTGTGAGAGGTGGTAGAGCGCAGGATTGTCCCGGTGTGGGTTATCATCTTGTCAGAGGGCATTTGGACGTGGTAAGTTTCTTTCTCGTGCTTCTAGCTCTCCTCTCTTTTGACGTCCGCAATGCTGGTCATCACGGAGAGTTCTTCGACAACGAAGATACTTCTTTACTGCACAACTCCTCTGAAACCCCTTATGCTGACGATTACTTTCTCAAGGCTGGTGTACACAATCGCGCGACAAGCCGATCCAAATACGGCACGAAGAAGACGAAGGTGGCATCGCGTGGCTTGGGTAACTAAGTCAGGGCACGCAATCACCAAACGGCCCTGAGGCCAATGGTGCGATTCGTGGACCACAATGCAAAGTGTAAATAGATATCGATTCGAGCCAACCGCCACGTGAAGAAACGGCCCATCTATCTCTCAACATACCACACCACACCCGGCTCACACCATTGATGGTAGATACCTGCTATGGGCAAATCTAGCCTACAACACCACCAAGAGTCGCCCATTCCGAAAGATCAGAGGGCGAACGATGAACTCAAAAGATCACCTTTCCCAATCAACAGCCATGGTCATCCTCCACCTCTGTCCACCATGCAATCACCAACGGTAGCCCAATTTATTGGAACAATAATAGCGCCATAGCGCGCTGCCAAGCAAGATATCTTTACACGAATACAACCACCCGACCGCCGCTGCCCAACCGCCTTCCCACTACTCTGAGAGGGAACAAGAAGCGAGAAAACAAAGCCTTGACCTTTCGGCCACGCTCCGTCCGCTATGCTAGCGATGCGATGCGATGCCATGGGATGTCAAGCTGTGCACGGCGATGATCCTGCCTGGTGTATGATATACCTGATATATATTCTTTGCGAGGGCGGTGGATGGATGGCACAGTTCGATCAGGTCAGATTGGACGAGTTGAGGAGGCGTGGGGCCTTGGGATGGATGCAATGGGTGCGTGGCTTGTCGTGTATTCAATACCTACCTATCTTGTATTAAGACACAGTTGTAAATGCATATGAACTACAGATTAAAAAGATGTCGATTCATATTTGAAAGGACATTCAGGGAAACTCGGCTGAAGGCAGGAAGATGATGATCCATAAGGTACGAGTAGGTACTTATAAGGTACGGAGTTTTAGCGTAGCATCGAACAGTGTTGACATGTCATGTCAAGCAGTGCTAGTGTTTGAGAATTTATCCAGACCAGTGTTTGTTTTGGGTTCGCTTCAATATTTAATTCATTATCAGCCAGCTGTCGCTCGGCTTATGCAAGGGTTTCTCAAGTCGTCTCTTTTTTGTACATACAGCGGTCCCAGAAATTTCAAAAGTGCTATCAACACTGACAGAAAGCTGACAGGGTGTCATCCCCCTTAGAACTTGAGAGTTTTCAGTCAGTTCAGCACATGGTGACAATCAATAAACGCCGCCGTTATGCTCTATGCTCGTATGAGGTCGATTCTGGTAATCAGGTCGTGGGCTTTTGGCATCCGTGTAGAAGCCCAAGCCAAAACATCAAGCAGGTTAAAATTTGTGTCCATGATGCTGGGATTCTTGTGACCATGTTAGGTGGAGTGATAATCCAAGAATGAACAGCTGAGTCAACATCTAGTTGGATGCCTCTTTGTTCCGTCTTGCTGGTCTCTCAACCTCTGCGGTCCCCTTTTCATGCCATTCGGCCAATCTCTCGGCCCACGACAATATCTTCCGTCTGGTTTTTGGGATGCGGAGTAGAACCAGCAGAGTCGTTAACGATGCAACGAAAGAAATGGCCGAGTATCTTAGGATTTCCCAGTCCAATTCGATACCGAATGTTTTGACAGTAGTTGATTTTGAATTGTCGGCTAGTCAAGCTTGACCCTCCCAGCCCACCGGCTTAGACAGTTTGTTCAGATCAAAGAATCTTGAGGTACAGCTGTAACCTTTCCAATCAAAATTGTCAGAGGGGTTGCAATGACATCGGAGTTTCAGGCGAAGATCGTCCCCAGTGGGGCAATGGGTGAATGGGACGTGGTAGTAGGCGATATCATTGAAGAAGTGGATGTCGTCCCTTGGGAGCAAAAGGCTTGCAGCAATGGAATGAACAGGAGCATCACCCCAACGTTCATAGAAGAAACCACCGTCTTGGTCCAAGGACTCGAAAAAGTCGATGTAGGCCTTGGACCGGAGCCAGTCAAGATTTCCGATCTCGAAGTTAGACCACTGGTATGTGTTAGTTGTGAATGAAGGGGTCATTGGGGTAGAACTCACGAAATGGCACTTGTTGTATGTATCACCTCCATCGTCACTCAAAAAGGCCATTGAATTCTCAGGATGGATATGCTCGGGGTGGGCCTTTATGAATTTCTTGGTGCTTTCCCACAAGGTCGGGATGGTTTCGACGTATTCGTACAAACTGAGAACGAAGCTGTACTTCTTCTTATTGTCCTTCATGTACTTGAAAGGATCGTAGTGAATGTCGCAGAAGAGTTCAACGCTCGGTTCGACTCGCCAGTAGTATTCGAATTGGTGCAGAAGAGGATGACGGAAGAAGAAGCCTGATTCGAAACGGCACATGTGGCGATAACTGATGGAGTCGCCATAAATGATCTTCCGCCTGCGCATGTCTTCACGAACGGCCTCTGCTTTCTTCTGATCAATCCACGACGGGAAAGACCAGTGCTCGACAGGGATCTCGCCATAATGGGTCTTGCCCGAGACGAGAGAAGTGGTAATCTTGATGAACTGATCATCAAATGGTTTATCGTTCAGAAAGACCCAGTCGTAGTTGTAGTTTCTGTTGAACCTGTCTTCGACTTGTCTAATGGAACGAGCAATCTCCCAGATATCCGAGTTTCTGGCCAAGGTGACAAAGGTTGCATTGACTCTCTCTCCGGGTGCGGCAGGCGAGAGTTCTGAAGGACTTAAAGGAGTTATGCTCGGCAAGGGCGAGGTTCCCAACTGGGGATTTTGAGGCTTCGAGGTAAAAGCATCCGCAACAGCATCAGGATCAGCTGCTGGCTTTTCCGCCGGTGGTGGTGTAACAGGGACTTTTATATCGTCCCAAGACAGTTTTCCTGCCGCCTCAGCTATTGATGGCGTGTAGGATGGTAATGAGGATGTAGATATGAAGTAGAGTATGAGAATGCCCTACTTTCTGTTAGTTCGGTGACTCCTTCGATGGGGTGGAGAGAAACCCACAAAGAAGGCAAACAAGATGTAACGCAGGTATCTTCCGGAGCCCGTGGCCATGATGGTGGCCTATTCGGGCTGAAATTGACAAAAGGTGTTGGGAAGTAGCGACCGTGATCGAGTCCCCTTCAAGGAAGACTTGATTAGAAGCGCACGTATCAAGATGACCCGACCGTGGCTGCCATTCAAGGTCTGGAAAGTCTGCGCAGCTGAGGCTGGTGGTGGAAACAGAGGGAGGGCACGGCACCCTAGGCTCGTGACACAAAGACGCGGCTGAACACGAACAATTCTATTACAGAGAAAGGGTGACAGGCGCAAGACTCAGGTGCAGATGGATCATAGAAAAGAAGAACAAAGAAGGATACAGGAAGAGAAGGCGATAATAATGAAACAATAATGGGTGATGTTTCCAAGATTAATCTTTAGGATAGGAACTACGGGGGCGGACTATGGAGTAGTTGGAAACACGAAAGGAGAGGAGCACGAGGAAGACGCGCAAGCGGGTGTGGATTTGGAGCGAGTATCCAGCCCGAGTCCGGATTACCGTGTTGCGACCAAGAACCAAGAATTTTGAGTTTTGGAAAAGGAAGGGCTCTTGAGGAGTGCCTGATTTTTATTTTTGTTGCAACCTGGAGCGCCTTTTCTCCCCGACCCCTGAATGGATTTCAAGCTGGATGTTTACACGAGAATTGCAACTCGAGCCAGTCCGTTTGGTTTGTGGCTTTGCACAAGGGGGCCAGAGAGTCAATGCGGAGAAGGCCAGTGCCCCTAGAATGATACTCTGCAGCCTAAAAAGTAGGGGACAGGCGCCCGGAAGGCCAAAGTTCAAAGCTAGAGATACTAAGCACCAGAAATGTCTACGCTAAAGATACTAGCGCGTGCTTCGAGTACTAGCAGCATTGACCGACGAGTCATTTGAATGTATATTTTCCACACAAATCGAGAAAACGTGACTTCATCATCCATTTCATATTGCGACTACTACTACTACTGCTGCTGCTGCTGCTGCTTCACTCCATCGCGAGGTCCTCGACATCCCACCCTCCCTCCACTTCCACGTCTCTCACACTCCCATGGAGTGACTCTCCTTACCGTTATCCTTCCTTGCCTCCAGCTGAGTAGGATCATGCACCCCTCCGCACTGCATTGAATTCGACAACCTGTCCTTGAGTGGGGTAATCGCCGTGCCCCGTTCGATCTCAGCATATTTAATAACCAACTTGCAACCTATCCATCCGTCCCTCATTTCGTCACTTCCAACTCACCATGTCTTTCTTCGGCTTCGACACCTCTTTACCGAGGGATCGTTCAGCCAACTCCAACAATAATGGCAAGGGTATCTTCGAGCATCCTAATCCCTTCACCGAGGTCGCAAAGGCGCGGAAACTGCAAGCCTTTCAAGATGACGAGGAAGAGATGTAGGTTCAACCTTACATTCCATCCTTCAGCTGTCAATACTAACGGAAACTCTTCCAAGCCTCGATTTCGAAGATACCTATGACGGCTTGGGAAATCAGCTCCAGGAAACTGGTGACGACTTGAATGATGACACTTTCGGTGGAGGTGCCGATCCAACATCTGGCCCGGGAACTTCAAGTAAAGAATTTGATTTCTTTGGAAATACTGCCCAAGTCTCAAACGCCATTGATGAAGAACACTTAAGATACAACCTGCAACACAACCAGGCTTTGCCTACCCATCTTACTCAAAAGCCAAAAAGGACGGGCTATGAAAAGTATCAAGATCCTGGATACATTCCCGACATTCAAGCAAAATCAGGCGCATGGGGAACAAAATCTCAGCATCCAATTCAACCCTCCGCAGAAGATGCTAGGTTCAGTACTGCGCGCCAGGGTGACGCCCCTGGTGTGCCTCCCCAAAGTCAGTATGCTACACGAGCTGCCCCACCGATGTTGAGCCTGGATGAGGTTGAGGCTGCTCTACTTGCTCAGTCCCGATCTCAGCAGCAGTATCCTTATCCACCACCTCAACCCTTTCCGTTTCCCACACAACATACCCAACAGCCACCACCACAACAATATCAACCTCCGCCACCGCAACCACCACCACCTCACCAACAAGCTCCTCTTCCACAGCAATTACGCGCGTCACAGAGTCCACAACGACAGAATCGTGCTCCATCCCAGCCTTCTCAAACCCGAGGCTCTCAACACCCGCTTCAAATCCTTCAAAATCCCAATCGTCCACGTCATTCTCCACAACCAAGTGTTGATAAAACTCAGAATGTCGGACAGTCGCAGGGTGCCATGGCTGCTACAAATCCTCCGAATCTTATGGAGCTCTCAGAGGAACAGCGAAAGGCATACTTGGAAGAGGATGCCAAACGAGCCAAACGGAACCATAAGATTTTTCTCCTTTCCAGAGGAAATGGGTTGATGACTCCACAAGACAAAAATTTCATCACTCGTATTCAGCTACAACAGCTTGTCACGGCAACAGGAGCTTCGTCTGATTCCACTGCCGAAACTGCCTTGAATGAAGATTTTTATTATCAGGTTTATAGCCAGATTCGAGGTGCCCCTAGACAGCATCCAACTCAACCTCTGGGGCATTTTGCACAGACCTACCTGTTCCAGACTGGAAGTCGTGTCGGTGGCAGAAGACAAAATGTCAACGGCGACAACCACATGCAAAGGATGCAACAACAAGTTCAACGTGCAGTCGAGGCAGCTAAATTGAAGCCCAAAAATAAGCAACTCATCATCGAAGGAAGTTTGGGCAAAATCTCATTTAGCAACGCAAAAACTCCTAAGCCCCTTTTGAACCTGAAAAGGAATGAAACTTCTGATAGCCGACCATCAACCGCTAAAAAGGGTATTAACGACGTCAGCCCAAGCGATCGCAAGACCATCCTCAAAAACATCGAGGAAGTTTACACGGTCTTGATGCGCTTAGAGGACAACGAACGACGAATGCCTCCTCCTCCTACCGAAGGTGACGCAGATTCTGTACAGGCTCATATTGAGTGGAGGCAGAAATTGAACGAGCTCAATAAGGCACTGTGGCAAGGCTTGAAAGTCCTGGATCCCATACTACCAGGTTCCACAGTTGTCCATCCTTTCATCGCCTTCTTGTCATTTTCCAAAGGGAAAAAGGCTATTCCTCGAGTCTTCCATCAGATCGACCAAGAACAGCGAGTAACCATCTTAACAATCGTTGTGTTCCACCTGGATCAATTGGACGTAGTACGAGAAGCTCAACTTGCTCCAGGTGAATCGCAGCCTCCTCCACAAATTCGTGAAGAGATTGAACTCTTCTCGCAAGCCGTTATGCCTTGTTTGTTGGGCTACGTTAGTGAAGCACCCATCAACATCATTATCGGTCTTCTTGGTCTTTTGATCGATCATGCGAACCTGGCTACTGTCGTTCATACCAAGATTGGCCTTGGAATGTTGACAATGCTTCTAAGTCGAGCGGAGTTGGTCAAAGAAAGTGGGTCGGTTTCTGATCAAGATTGGCAGCAATGGACTACTTTATACAATCGACTCTTTGATCACTTGGAGCCTATATTGGCCACAATATTTCCAGGACCGGTCAATTCCGGAGACGACATGTATATTTGGCAATTTCTCGCTGCGGTCGGCATTGGCGCCAGCCCTGAACAGCAACAGAGACTGGTCATCGGCGTCAAAGATCGAGTTATGGAGACAGTGCTTCAAAGCAAAGCACTTCCCGCCGAGATGTCTAGTGTCAGATTGGGCAATGTCAACTTGTTCATGAGAGCCATTGGTCTCGATGTGGAGATGCTGGGATAAATCATCCACACGGATATATATGGCGACAAATTTTGGAAACCCTTAGATCAGGAATACTTCTAGCTTTACTTCTCCACACCGGAATCTTGCATCTAAGGACGGAGAACCGAAGCTGCACGCTCGACATAGATAACAAAAGGGGACCGTGTTCGATGGTTTCGACTTGGGGGCTGGATATGAAAAGAAGAAATGACCTTTGGTAGGTGAAGTTTATGAATGACGAGGAGAGCAGCTGAGTTTTTGGGACGGTTTGTGGTTCCTGCAGAAGAGGAGGGCCGAGGAAGAAGCCTCTGATTGCAGACATTTTTGCGATCGCACCAGTCCCTGGACAATAAGGTCCTTGGGGCAATGAACAAGAACTACTTAACAATGCAAAACAGTTTCAAAAATCTTGAAGTGTACCCATTATGAATATGAGTTTCCTCCACCATGATCTCATCTCCGGTGTTTATTGTACTGTGCCCTGCGAGGTCAATGACACAGCTTCCTCATCAAGTGAAGACACAATACTTTATCACCGCCGATCTCTTCCTCCCCTCTCACTACCACCAACCGAAAGACTTGCTCCGTCCAATACCAGTGTTGATGCGAGGACTCGAACTATGCTCAGTATCGCAAGGCCCGGCGGTGATCGAAAGTGAGTGAGTGCCGGAAACAGAGCAGGGTTTCTCTCTCCCATCAGCTATGGAGGTAATAATCCCAGAGCAGCAAGAACCGGAGTCGACTCTCGGTCCATATGCTCATCTCACAGTGGTATCTTATTTTGGTTCTATGTTTATCTCACTCATTATCTTGCTCATACTTACGATATTTACGCTTTAGATCACACCCCTGAACCCTAGACCCTCGACTCTCTATATGTCAGTAGCGCACACAGCACTTGTGACGGCACACCGTAAATGCGTATGTGCCATGAGCTGATCGAGCAAGAACTGGAAGCCCAGAAACCCTGGGTGTGCGTAGGGAGCGATTATGCTGTGTCGTCTTGCCTATGCGGAGGCCTCTGGTTTATCAGCTCTCAAATACCGGGATAGTCTCCGTTGGTGTTAACGAAGCTTGGTGACACAGTGATTGAAGCCGATGCTGTCGAGCGTTTAGATATAGTCGCAAACTGTAGTGGGGCAGTAGTGAAAGGCTTCAGCGATGATGTCGGAGATGCTCCTAGAAGGATATACAGTGGACGACAATCGCTCTTTTAGCTCTGGTGGCGTGAAAATAGTCGGGCAAGGACCCCCATCACCTTGGCGTTGACTGCACCCCTTGTGCCCGCCTTCTTCTCCTCGTTCCGCGTTTTTTTCAGAAATGTTATTCCCCAAGTGCGAGCGAAGATGCCGTATCCCACCATGTTGTTTGAAACATAGCATAAATTGATTTCCAAGAGCATCTATTCCCGAAGATAAATGCTTCCCTAGTCGTTCATAATCCGTCGCAAAAAGCCTTGAACGTCAACAACAGATTATAGATTGGATTCCTCGCTTGCTGTACTTTGTCCTGCGCTGCCCATGCACAAGATGAGCATGAGCCTTGCAGTACCGAATCTCGGGCCACTCACGCACCCCAGTCGTCTATCATCGCCAGTGTCACTACCTGCCAGTCAAGCCCCAGGTCGAGCATCACAGAGAGTTTACAGCTGTCCTGTCCCTTGACATGTTCCTGCATCTGAGCTTGTTACTTCTAGTTATGGCAACCTTGAGACCTCTTATAATTTGAGCGTACGAGCAATTTAAGCGTACTTCAACCCGTCGATCACACTGATTGGCATCAAGCTTTGCTATGGCCTGTCAGAAAAGTTGACGTTGTTAGTGCCCTCATTGGCGATACTGCCGGTAGATCATATCGCGCCCCATTTTGAGAGTCCACTGTCGTCCCAGACCCTGGTATTCTATCGTGCCTGGCGGTTTTCGACCAAACGGGATTTTCTTTCCTGGCAATTGAGGTCTTCAAGCAGCAACCACAGGACGAAACGCCATCCCAGGAAATATAACAAGATATCAGACGTGTTCCACTACCGCTGTCGGAAAGATGTAATCTTTTCCCAGTAAATGTGCTTTCAAGGTTCGGAATTGCTGATGATGTTTCCGTGGACACAACTGAATTCCGCCGCGCTTTCGAGAATCGTTTATATGCACTTTGTAACGGGTCGAGGGCTAGGTGTACCAGAACAACAACATTAAAACTGGAATCTTGTCCCGGGCCTTTTGTCAGGCCCTCGCCTCGATCGACAGTGCCTGCAGTTCGACGGCTGTGATGGAAAGGCTTAGATTGGACTTGTACAATCATGCACTTCTTTTAATTCGTTTGGCAGATGTCACAATTCCTGTACATTTGTGGCCATAAGAAGAGAAATACTAAGTACCCAGACTCTTTCCATCTCTTCACCATCTTCATGTAAGCTTGGCCGACATAACACCATGATTCACCACAAACTGGTGTTTTCTGCTTTCTGCAGCCTGATATCTGCTGCTGGTGAGTATTCCTCATGGGATTCAACTTTGTATGGATCTAGAAGAGTCAAGCAACTGATTAAGAGTGTCAGTCATCCAAGAACGAGGTGTGGTGGTCGATGTCAACCGGTCTCACACAGGGCCGAGGATACCAACAACGGATCATCCCACGTGCGAGTCCCCGGGATCAGGATGGAATATTGCTCACGCTCCAAACGAGTACCAAGAGTGGAGCGAGGATCCGCCGATACTCCCTAGCGAAAGCCATGGTGACCGGAGACACCAAGGATCAGGATTGCCCGACTGGTACCATGTGTGGAAACATGGGCCGAAATCAAGGCCACATGTTTGGCCCGGCTGGAGACATGAAGAACCAGGAGGTTTGGACTGGGACCATGAGCCGAAGTCCACTGCATATACGTGGAATGCTCCGCCATTTCCGCCTCCAGCTACGATGAGCTCGTACAGTATAAGGGAATCTGCCGTGGATCTACCAACGCCATTTCGCATCTCAATCTGGTCTTTATCAGAAGAGCTAAGCCCCGATCCAGTCCATATCAGACTCACTGGCTATTATGCACATGCCGCTGATCAATTGAGCTCTGCCTTCTTCACGCTTGACCAAGGCCAGTTGCGATCAAACGGACTTTTGGTGGGAACCACAACACAAACGACTCAGATAATGCATGTTGCAGATGCAGTCTCTGGTGATTGGTTTATGGCTGATAATAAGCTCTTCTATCGAGGCTCCCAGGGATGTTGTGTCGACGAACTAGGGATTCTCTACATTGTCTTCGATGTTGCACCTGACGGATGTGCCGAAATCGTCCTTTGGCCCATGATACCCAATCAATCGAAAATGATCGAATCGTCAAGACCCCACCCACCGTCGCCAACCTCTACTGACATTCCGGTATTCGATTGGAAGCATGAGACAGTCAAGACCTGGCTCCCACCAAATTCAAGCTCTTCATTCGAGATTCCGTCGTCGGCAGTCTCCCCTGTGACCTCACGATCGATTATATCAGTCCTCCTTCCTACTTCACCAGTCACCTCATCAGCTACCTCATCAGCTACCTCATCAGCTACCGTCGCTATACCAGCTGTCTCCTCTTCAACTTCAACACTTTCCGCGCTTTTTTCATCGGTCCTCTCATCAATATTGGCTACCAGCGACTTGACATCTATTATTACAACTTCTAGTACAACACCGGCAGCCACCACAACGTCAGCTACATCATTTTCATTAGACATTGGCCCAGTATCTATTACAACCTCAGTAGCGTCTAGCACTACAATGATACTCTCCACAACCTCGTCAATCCCCCCTACAACATCGCTTATCACATCTCTGATTACTACTACTACTACTACTACTACTACTACCACCACATTTTACAGTCCGGTAACATCTTCGAATCTGTATTCATCGCCCTCCACTGAAATATCGACTCCGCAAACTAGAACTAGTACGACAATCTCTTCCATGATCTCATTAGTTGCACCTGCAAGCTCGTCCTCACGGGCAGCCATAGACTCGCCTGTATCTATAACAACCTCGGGATCTACAAGTACGACGAATTCCTTAGGTGGTCCTACCTACTCAAGTCCCGCCGCATCTTCGATCTCAGTGACATCTTCAACCATGGTGATGTCTTTAACTACGACCTCGTCTTCAACTGATACCTTATCTTCGACTACTAAGTTATCATCTACTAGCCTAATCTCGACCTCTACAAGAATCGATGGGCCTATCTCCTTGACCACTACTAGAAAAGAGTCGACTACCACTACATTGTCGAGCGCGCCGTTACCCCTGAGTAGTGCGACAGCCTCAGTTTCTGCGATACTTTTAAGCACTACACCATTGACGACTAGTAGAGACACGACTACTGCAGCCTTAAGCACTACATCTTCGGTCACGGTATCTCACACCCCAAGTACAATCTCGACTAGTACAGGCATGACTACCGCAACCCCAACCGCAAACCCAACATCTTTGAGCAGCACAACATCCTCAACTACTACAGAAACAACCACTTCAACATCAGCAATAACACCTACACTCACTCCCACACCCACATCAGCATCAGCATCAACATTTATACTAAGCACAACAGCCTCAAGTACGTTATCCTCTACCACTACAGCATCTTCCACTACTTCAGACCCGACTACCGCGACCTCGTCGACCACAGATTCCACCACGACATTCTCAACAAGCACCACCACGGCTACCACAGACACTACGACTAAAATCTTAACCAGCACAACGACTTTGAGTACAGCCTCCTCGACGAGCACGGCCACCACCATAGACACAACGACCACAACCTCAACGACCACAACCTCAACGACCACAACCTCAACGACCACAACCTCAACGAC